AGGGAAGTGCAGTACTGCAAAAGCAACACCATCAGAAGACCTAGGCTTGAACCCCAGTTTTTAGTAACTATGTGATTCCAGGGGAATTTGGCTAAAAATTTTGAAACAAAAAGTAAAACCATTTTTAATGTTTTAAAAATGCCTACCTAAAAGAATTCTGCAAACACAACTTTGGATAATGCAAATGACCAGGCTGGTAAAATTTAAAAAATTCAAAACATCAAAAGTCTAAATGTAGCCCAAGAGATATCATAAACAGTCAGCAGTTATGATGACATAACAATTCTTTATTCATTCACAGACATACTTACACATATGTATAAGTGTATGATTAAAATATAATACAGTTAATGTGTGCACTCTCAGAGAGTATCTATGAAAGTCAAAATGAAAACATAACAGTTCTCAACCAAATACTGTAACCAATCCTGTTCAGTGTAATTTGCTTTATACAACTGAAAATTCTTTATATTTTCAGAGTGCTTTTAATTTTATAAAATGATTTAACCCTAAAGCCGTTCACCCTTACGATCATGCAACACGGGGGGATAGCTATCATTCCATTTTAGAGAGAAAAAAACAGAGAGAAGCCAGGTCACTTGTTATTCAGAGAGGTCTAAAACAACTGGACTTTCAATTCTCAGTAAAATCTATGCCATCTGATTCCTTAACACAACGTGTTTGCCAAATTCTTTAGGTAGGCTTCTTTTAAAGAAGCAACTTACAGGGAAAGCAGTGTGACGTGAGACAAGTATGGACCTGGGTAAGAAAGTGTGTTTAGTAAGAGCTATACTATGAACTAGTTATGAGACCTTGGCTATATCCTCTACGAATCTTGTTCTCTCATCTGAAAGTAAGAGATGCTTCCCAAAGACTTTTATAATATAAAAGAATTTAAACTTTTTTTTTTTTTTCAGTACTGGGGCTTGAGCTCAGGGCCTACACCTTGAGCCACTCCACCAACCTTTTTTGTGTTAGTTATTTTTGAGATAGGGTCACACAAACTATTTGTCCAGGTTAGCCTTGAACCTTGAGCATCCTGATCTCTGCCTCCTAAGTAGCTAGGATTGCAGGTGTGAGCCACCCGGCTTGAATTTAAACTTTAAAAAGGAGTTTCATGGGGAACTTATTTTGCAAAGCAAAAAATAATTGGTTGCATTGATAATATCCCCACAATCCTCAAAATCAGATTTCGTATGTGTGTATGTGTATGTAGCTCGCAAACTGTGTATTCGATAAATATTTGGGGAGTAAGTGAATGAATGAAACAAGTTTTCTACATCGGGGCAAGCATGTGTATTTGTAAGTATATGAAAACAAAATAAACACCTCCATTTACATTCATTGATCCATACAACAACTAGATATTAAGTGCCTAAGGTATAATAGGAATTGGAACACCAATAATGCCTAAATCATCCCTCATGAAGCTTATTATTAAAAAAACAAGTCTTACAGATTGTCAAAAATGCTTTGAGGGAAATAAAAAAGGTGCCTTGCTAAATGGTAACAAGGGAGGGACTTCTTGAGATAAGAGAGTTATAAAAGGACTCTGAGGAGGTCAAAGTAAGCTTAGACCATCATGATGTCAATGAAGAAGTTACATGGAAAACTGAGAGAAGAACATTCTAAGGAGATAAGATAAACATAAGCAAAAAGATGCTGAAAAGGAAAAGGGCCTGATATCATTGTGAAAGGAAACAAAGAATCCAGGACGGCTGGTACCTAGTAGGCAAAGAGAATGAGTGATACGGATGAAGCAATGGAAAGAAAGTGATGAAGTTAGATATTTAGGTAGTGGGTAATCCCTCAGGCCCATAAAAAGCTCATGATTCATTAGTGAGGGAATGGAGGGATGATGGGAATGTTAAAGTAAAAGCTCATTTCGATAAGTATATTAGAAAAAAATTTTGTGTAACAACACTATTTCTATGTTTAAGGTCTGGACTACAAAAGAGAGAAACAGAAACTGATGCAACCAGTAGGCTGATAACTTCTCTGGTCCCTAAGCATGCCACTACAGTAAGCCACCTACTGGCCCAGGGATAAATCTGAGCAAACTCATAGTCCTGTATCTATTAAAAAAAAAAACCCTCTAAAATTTGTAATTTAAAAACCTTGCCATCAAGAAAACTTTAGGCTGAAATGGATTGGTAATTTCTGATAATTTCTAACATACCTTTAAGAAAGAAGTAACACCAGACCCACACAAACTCTTCAGAAAAATAGAAACAGAACACTTCCCAACTACTTTAATGGGGCTAATATTAACCTTACACTAAAACCAGACAAAGACATCTCAAGAATAGAAAACTTGTATCTCCAGTAAGAATAATGCAGAAATCTTTAACAAAATATAATCCAGCAACAAATAAAAGAATAATAAATATATTATGATCAAATGAGTTTTACTACAGGAATTTTAATGTTTTAAATTTGAAAATAATCAGTGTAACTTACACATTACAGTAAGAAGAAAAGCAACTGACCTCCTCAATAGATGTAAAAAAAAGATATGAAAAACCTCAACACCATTCATGATTAAAAACTTTTAGCAAGAGAGCTTGATAGCTGTGACCTCAACAGCAACAAACCAGATGTTAGTTTCTAAATACTATTGTCCAGTAAAAGGAAGCAAGGCCTCTTGGAGAAATGCTAGATTCTAGAACTGAGGCAGGGAAAACGATCACTTCATGCCGCCAGAAAGTAAAGGAAGTACTCAAAAAAGAGCGAAGTATGTCAAATGACAGAAACTAACCTAAATAAGTACCCAATGTCCAAATATGGAATGATGTGAACAACAAAATAATTAGTGCTTGAGCTTGCCTAAGAGACCCTGAGTTCAATACCAGTACTGTCAAAAAAAAAAATTATAGTGTTCGATTAAAACCCACAGTATCTATGAATCTATACTGATATAAATAATTAAATAAAAATATATAAATAATTTAAAAAAGGAAAAATACCTTGGATTTAGTTTTCTCATTTTTATAAACCTAAACAAGTTTAAGAATTATATATATTAAGAATTGCTTAATATTTTTCTGCAAAATGAGTAAACTTCTAAAAAGAAACATATTAGCCCATAGTCTAATGTTACTACCTAGCAAGTATTTGTAATTTATTTTTTTAAAAACACTTTATTTTTTTTTTATTTGGTGGTACTGGGGCCTCATGCTTGCTCGGCTGTTGCTTACCACTTACCACTTGAGCCACAAACCTGGCAAAGTTTCCTGCAAATTTTTAAATAAAATACAATGCATAATGTGTTCTGAAGTTATAATATAAAGGATATTAAATGTACATTATTGCCATGATATACTATTTACAATATCAAAAACATTCTTTTTAAAGTAAACTATTGCATTTCTTACTGTTTCTTTTGTGTATGTGACAAGATCTTACTGTATAGCTTAGGCTGGCCTCAAACTTGTGATCCCCTTGCCTTGGTCTCCTTAGTGCAGAGATTTATGCGTATGCACCAACATGCCTGGCTTATCCTTTTTGAGACAATATAGAAACACTAATGCTATCTATATTTTATAACTACTTGAATATGTGGTCCCTTAAATTATTCTGTACCCCAAGAATACATTAATATAGTTTTGGATGCAGTGCAGAATTCTTTTTATGGTGTTCTTCAGCAAATACACAAACAAGTACTAAACCTGTGAACAACTATAAACTGTGTATCTTCTAGGAGAGACTGCCCCCTTGTGCCTGTCAATAAGATTCAGCAAATTAAGAAAGAACAGATAATAACTATTTCAACACTAGAAGCTCCTGGACTCCTAAAAAGACCTTGAGTATAAGTTAGTGATAGAATATTTGTCCAGCATGAGTAAGCCCTCAGTTCAAGTTCTAGCAGCACCAAAAAAAAAAAAAGACTTTGATGTCAGAGAGTGTGTATGTATGTTTTTTTTGAGACAGTATCTCAACATGTTGTCTAGGCTGGTCTTGAACTTGTGGCTTGAGGTAATCCTCCTGACTCAACTTCCTGAGTATTCAGGACTATAGGCACACACAACCCTCCCTGTTCTGCTATGTTCTTTCTGTGTTTAGATTTTAACATCTGATAATTAAAAGTGTTAATCTTTAAAGACCAATGAATTGAGCAGTACCTTAAGTTCATATGAGCTAATTTATGAAATTCAGTAATAAATATCAACATTTCCTAACAATAACTATCATGGCTACGTGCTGATCAAGTGCTTACAGGCTGAGTTGAGAGATAAGTAATTTTCTGATGCTTAAGTTTTACAACAAAATGCAAACAAGCAAAAAACAAAAGCAAAACAAACTACCAACTATGCTGGGGAATAGCTCACTGGTAGAACACTTGCTTAATGTGCATAAAGTCCTGGGTTTGATTCCTAGTACTGTAAAGAAAAAGAGTGACTTGTTTTAAAATACACAGATAACTCAACAGATACTTCATCTAAGTGTTTAGGTATTTTCTTCTGAAACTTTTTTCTTTTTTTGTGGGACTGGAGTTTGAACTCAGGCTTTGTGCTTGAGTCACACTTCCAATCCATTTTGTTATTTTGGAGATGGAAGTCTTGTGAACCATTTGCCTAGGCTGGCCTCAAACTGTGATCCTCATGGTCTCAGCCTCCCAAGGATTTAGGATTATAGGTGTGAGTCACTGGTGCCCAGCTTGAAACTTTTAAATTTTCAAATTCTGTTTATGGCCTAATTACCCTTTATAAAGCTTATTCTTAGTATATAAATGTTAACTGATCATCAAACATAAATTATCAGTATTATTACTATTGATATTGCTAATAACCTACAATACAGACAAAAGTATTAAGATCATTAGTCTTGCCAAGGATAATACATTAAGGCAATAAAAAACATATCACGGTAAAATTAAGTAAAGAAAAATACTATCTTTCCTAATTATGATTGGAACAGTTGCAATTCCATTTCAATTTTATAGGGTCATTAGGAGAATATTAGTATGAGAAACTAGATGGTACACATACAATAATACCTACTTTCGAAGGTGGTCATGTTCTTTCAAAAACAGTTCAGTTCTCCGGTTGTTTACTCCAGACCCACTTTTATATGACCTAGAACAACAAAGAAAATTAAGAACATTTTAGAAGGTACTGCAAAATCAGAACAAAGTGACTGACCCTAGTGACATCAAAAGTGGACAAACTGTGCCTCTTCTAGTTTTGAACGAATAATTAAAATATGTAATGTTTTTCATTCCCTCTAAAACTATCTAGTATAAATGTTTTTCTAATTTAGATCAAAGAATTTACCATGTTTTTCACCAAAATAACCCAACATTTTTAAACAATGAGAACCTCACTTCTTTCTTTGTCTATTTTCTTCTCTTTTTCTCCAAGTGGAAGTAAAACTTTGGACTGATTAGTATATAGCACATGGACTAGGAAAGCTATTGAAACAATGTTTTTCTTTCCACAACAGTTAAGTGTTCCTAAGCCAGAGATTTGAAATGAAATGTTCAATGAGTGCTGACTTTGGCACACCTTTGGATTTCTGCTGGTCTCTGGCACATTAAAATCTACAAAGAAAGCTTTTCATTACTACTACCAACACCTCCATTTTTGTTTTCCCATTAATAATAAATATCAAGAACAAATTTTTAAAAATTCCAGTAACTGCACAAATATTGCAGTAAGACAAAACTGAAATGCTGGCTGAGAGGCCGTGCATTCATGTAAAGCCCAGAGGAAAACACCAGGAAAAGCAGAATGATATAAACAAGAACCCATCATGTGAATTTAAGTCTATACTCCATCATTTAATAGCCAATTAACTTTAGACAAGTCCCTAAAATTTCTATTTTTTTCAAAAGATTATTATGAAGCTAAAAGAGATTACAGATGGAAAAATGATGTGCAAACTGCAAAAAAAAAAAAAAAAACTATACTTCTCTCAAGTATTATTATTACACCTCATCTCACTAATCATATTCTGCCCCATCCTATACCAATTTGAGTGTTGTCTTACTCCCCTCCAGCACATAGATTATAAACTCCTACAGGGCCAAGTTGGTCTTTTCATTTTTACCTTGTATTGTGACTTATATAATCTCTTACTCATAGATGGTACTCAGGCAACAGATTGAGTTATTTTTTAATCATTTTTCAAAAACTAAGTTATTATAACAAGTTATATTCTAGTAAAGTCCATTCTCTACACTGAGTTTCATTGCATTCTTCAAAATGTTTGTGCAAGTTAACTATACAAAGATTAAACAAGACTTACATATACCAAAGGACAAAAAATATTACAACTGTCTTGCTGTTAAAACTGTCATAGTATTACAAGAAAATAAAGGATATTTAGGAATGTTTCTAAGAGTACACACATTATATGATATATACACTAAGTATATATCATAGTTTATAAAACATAAGTATCATAAACTTATCACAAATGAGACAATGACAGGTATCATTAGATGGTCCAAAAGAGGAAAGTTCTTCAGCTTTAATTAGATGTCCACAGAACTTAATTTTATCAGTCAAGTTTGGTTGTAAAAAAATTTCCAAAAATATGTATGAAATGCTAGAATATATCATTGAGGATGAAAAGAAGGGATGGAAGAAGAGAACAAAATCTTTAAACTTATGGACTAAGATCAGTATAAAGATGTTGAAGTCCTTAAATAATTTGACTAAGGCTATAAGTTGATATTAAATCTGGAAAAAAAAAAATCCACATATTTCAGAATTTTAGGGAAATAAAAGCTGCATTAACAGCTACCTGAATATGTAATTGCTGAGGCAAGGGAGAAGAGCAAGAGCTAGGTGGTAATCAGGAAGGAAGAAGGAGCGCTTCAGTTATTGGTAATGCAGTCTTAGGGAGGATAGTAAGATATCAGAGAACTCTTGAAAATACTATGTAGGCTGGATTTTGAATTAAGACAGAAAGGTCAAGGCTGGTAGAAGCCCATGGTAAAACTAGGAGAAGCAGAAGATAACACTGGTAAGGAAGAATAGGACCATATTACAATGGTGATGTTTAAACAACAGAGAAATAGGAATTAGATACCCAGAAATCTAAATCCTGGTTTTGCTACTCAATTTGCAATTAACCACAGATAGATTCTAAATCCAAATAAACATTCTATAAATAATATAAAAGTAACTTACTCAATATCTTTTCGCACTGATCCCATGAGGTTCTCCCTTTCCCGTATTGCCATAAAATTTGCTTTGGTTTTGTGGAATTCATGTGTATAATCCTACAACAAATCAGCATGCAGAGTCAGTGTGAGCTAGTTACCTATTTTCATCTTAATGTGCCAGCTGTGCGTTAACCATCACGCTGCAAGTGTCAAATCACCACCCTTCCTATCTTCTAATACTATTAGGTGAGGCAGAATTATAAATATGCTAAAATAAAATGACTTCACACAGTCTAGGATAAAACTTGGGAGGATTTTTCCTATTCAACTGTGCACTTCATAGAGCTTATTCTCAAATTTCCTCCTTTAAAAAAAGGAGGTCTCGAACCCAGGGCTTTGTGAATGCTAGGCAAGCACTCTATCACTGAGCTATATCCTCAGTCCTCAAGGCACTCTTTTTTTTTTTTTTTTTTTTTGGTGGCACTGTGGTTTGAACTTAGGGCCTCAAGCTTGCTAGGCAGGCGCTCTACCACTTGAGCCACCTTGCCAGCCCCAGCCATTCATGTTTAAGTTTATATTCTTTACTGATTTTCATAATTTTTTTTCCTTATTTATTTCTAGTATTTCCCTGTATATTAAACAAATTAGTTATTTGTTATAGTTTCTGATATTAGATCTTGTTTAGAATGTTCTTTATTGCTCAAAAATTCATAAATTTAAACTATGTGTTATTCTGAACTTTTATTGTTTTTCTTCTCTGTCTCTGAGTCTATCTCTGTTTCATTGTCTCTCAGAAAGCCATGCACATCTGGGTCTATATAAAAAACTATTCTGTTCTACTGGTATATATATGTACATTTTTTTTTCTTTAGAATCAAACTGTCTTAACTATTCTAGCTTGTTAAGAGGTTTTATTTATTTTATGAATTTATTTTTATTTTTTGGTGGTACTCGAGGTTGGACTCAGGGCCTTGTGTGCTTATTAGGCAGGCACTCTACACTTGAGCCAGTCTGGCAGCCCTTTTCACACTGGTTATATTTGAGATAGGGTCTCACTTTATGCCCAGGCAGTCCTGGGCTGCAATCCTCCTATTTGGGCTTTCCCATGTAGTGGGGGATGACAGGTGTGTGTCACTGGGTCCAGCCATTGGTTGAGATGGGGTTTCATGAACTTTTTTTGCCCAGGTTGGCCTCTAACCATGATCCCCTCTATCTCTACCTCCCGAGTAGCTGGGATTTCAGGTGTAAGCCAGAGCACCTGGCTAATAGGTTTTAATATCTGGTAGAATTAAGTACTACTTATCTTCACTTTCAGAAGATGAACTTAATTGGTTACACACATATGAAATTACCTATATACATAGATATGATTCCAAATCAACTTTGATGCCACTGTGCCATATCATAAAAACAAACAGCTAGGTGTGGTGGCACATGGCTATAACCCCAATACGCAGAAGGCTGAGGCAGGAGGACAGAGTCTGAGGCCAGCCTGGGCTACAGAGAGATCCTGTCTCCAAAAAAAAAACCAAATCAAACAATTAAAAACTCTACTATTTCCACTGCATAGCATTCAATTTATAAACTGGTTTAGAGGAAAATCTTCCCATCCAAAAGCAGACTAATTCTTAAATCTTTTATATCCCTCAGAAGGGTTTTTCAGATACAAGTTCAACACATTTCTTGGATTTTATAGTTTCTTTCCATTGTATGTTTTTTCTTTTTCCTTTTCATTTTTTTGGTGCACAGGGTTTTATACATGCTGCTACTGAGCTACGTCCCCAGTCCCTTCCATTATATTTTCTAATAGGTTTTCATTTATATGTAGGAAAATTGCTTGCTTTTATAAATTAATTTTGTAATCTATCATCTTACTGAATTTGTTTTTACTTTGCTTCAGTTAATATTCTTGGGTTTACATCTTATCCTGTCATGTAACAGGAATGTTACCTCTTCCTTTCCAGTCTCTCTCACAGATGTCTAAGTGTTAGGCATTTGTGGTGGTCATAGGTATCCTTCTGTCCTTTTTTTTTTTTTCTTTAATGGGAACGCATTTTGGCCTTACCATTAACCACAATGCTAGCTCTTAATATGATATTCACATTTGTGCATTAGGTAAATAAAATATCTTTTTATTTCTGTGTGTGTGTGTGTTGTAAGTGTGGTGCTGGGACTTGAACTCACAGCCTTGTGCATGGTAGGCACAACCCTTTAACAATGAGCTATACCCTCAGCCTTTATTTCTGTTTTTAAAATTAGAAATGGTTGCTGAATTTCCTCAATATGAAAAACATTTGCCTTAGTATTTGTACTACTATATTTTTGACAACTCCCTGTAAAACCTAAGTTTATTTAGTTTTGATATACTTTTAATATTTCCTCAAACAATATACTAAAAGTAGTAAATTACTTCACCTCTATGTTATCCTGATAATGTAAAAAAAATCTCAGGTTATATCAATTACCTGTAATATGTCTCTATGTCGCTGTAACGTATGCATTAGTGCTGCATTCAAAGACGGGACACCTGCACTGTTGGTATATTCTGCCATTTTATCATTTACCCCTGTAAGCTAGGAGGAAAGGAAAAAAATATTTTAGAAAGCACTATAAATAGCTAAATTATATGCATACATACCTTTTGCCTGGCAGCAAAACAAGATAAAACAAAACTCAGAAGTTCAGCACTTCCCCCCAAATAATCCATAAAAGCTACAATAACACCCATATAACCTGGGCATGGCTATCATCAAAATTCAAGTGATCTAGAGAAGAACACGTCTTGATGAGTGGATGATTTCAATAAACATGTATACACTAATATAATGCAATACCATATGTAACAAGTACAGACATTTTAACAAAGTAATCATTTAAGGGTAATCACTTACCCTGGCCAAAAGCTGTTCAATTTCAATTGCCATTGTCTCAAACATTCTGTCTTGGCTTGATCCATTTAAAAGGGGTGTTGTATCAGAACTAAAGAGAAGTTCAATTAAAGATAATCCCATTACTCTAGCCCTTTAAAATGTACTTACAATAAAAAAGTAATTTTTCCTAAAAACTCAGGTCAAGTAAACTCTGAAACATTTCCTCTATTTCTTTGGAAACTATGATTTTTATAGAAGTTTTCTTATAAAGATCACACATATCCTACAATATTAAACACAATATAAAATATAATTCAATGTGCCAGGCATGGTGAAGCATAATCAGGAGGCTGAGGCAGGAGAACTGTGAGTTCAAGAACAGCCTGGGCTACACAGCAAGTTCCAGGGCACAGCCTGAGCTATAAAGTGAGACAATGCCTCTAAAAACCAAAATCAAAAAATCAAAATAAAAACCAAAAAAAATCAATCAACCAACAAACAAAAACATATATATATATATATATATATAAAATGGAGTGTAAGGAAATTCGAAATGCTTATTTAATGTTTCCAAAATGACAGAAAAGTAACTTAAGCTATGGCAGTGTCCAATTAAACTCTGAATTTAAAAGAACTAATGATGTGAAAGAAAACCAGACAATTAAGCTTTATTCAGACATAAAGAATTAAATTGTCATTTGGCAGGAAAATGGAAGGAACTGGAGATCATCATGTTAAGTGAAAATGGCAGGCTCAGAAAGACAAGTATCACATTTTCTCTTGTATGTGGAATCTAAATTAAAAATCAGAAGAGGAACTATTTGGAAAGAGTTGGGGGACCAGAGGTAGGAGAAGACAAGAGGATAATTGTGTATGTGGGGGTGAGTAGACCAAAGTATATCATGTACATATATGAAAATGTCTTGATGAAGCCTATTTAAAATGTACAAAATAACCCCCCATGAACTCTGAGAAGAAAAGCCATAAAAATGGATTATGGGGCTGGGTATGGTGGTTCATACCTGTGATCCTTAGGAGACAGAGATCAGGAGGATCACTGTTCAAGGCCAACCCAGGCAAAAATTAGTGAGAGTCCCATCTTACTAACTCAGAGGTGCACAATAAGTCAGTGTGGTGGTGTGCACCTGTGGTCCCAGGTATGTAGGAAGCTACAGGTAGGAGGATAGAGGTCTGAGACTGGTGGAGGGCAAAATGTGAGATCCTTCCTGAAAAATAACTAAGATGAAAAAGGACTGGAGGTGTGGCTCAAGGGGTAGAGCCTAGCAAGTGTGAGGCCTTAAATTCAAAAGCCAGTACCACAAAAGAAAAAAGAAAAAGAAAAAAACCCCAGAAAACATGGATTATAGATGTTATGGAGCCTGTAAGAAAAAAATCTTTTAAGTTTTTACTCTCCAAAATTATTGTTCCTTACACGTTAAGTTCTCTCTTTTTGAGTCTTATTAAAAAGAAATCAAATTGAGACTTAAATGATCCTGATTGGACAACTAATTAAATCAGAAACTAGTTTTCAGTCTAATATAGATAGCTATGTTCAGCATGTTCTCATACTAACGCTCTACATTTCCACTTATAATATGCAATCACCTCATTTTGTTTTGCAAAAATGTGTTTGTCTTTTAATATCACAAGTCAGTCAGAAAAATCTAACTTTTACATGCTTGATATGTAACATGCTTGACATACTCAAATTCTAAAACCACATGTCCTGAAAGTTCCTTTTGCTTCTTTGAAAACTCACCACCCCTCATATGTCCCCAAGTAGTATTATTATCTTATGAGCAGCTTAATACACATCATTCTGTCATTCTGGACACAGATAAATACCCAGGTAATGACTGTGCTCTCTGATCTCACTGAAGGCTTTGCTCTGCCCTTTTAACGGTGCTTGTGTGTGGCAAATAAAAGAGATTAAACCATCAGTCATCATCAGACGGTACCTTAGCTACCACTATGTCCCCCTCATATATTTATTTCCACAGCAATAATAATTTGCAAAGTAGCCAAAGAGTAGCTAATAAGGATTTTGGTTTGGAGGTAAGATCTTGCTATGTAGTCCAAGATTACTGGCATGAACCACCATGCCCGGCTTTAATAAAGATTTTTATTTTAATATGTTCAGCTAGGTCTAAAGTTTTATTTCTTCTTCAAACATCCCAATTTATTTGCACTGAAATGTTACATCAAAATATCTAGCTCTTTATTATAATATCAGAACCAAGCCAAGGTTGTAGGGTTACGGCCCAGAATGTACCCATATGAGAGTATATCTGTATAATACTGATATAGATCTTCCCCTACCAATAAATATAAAAGAACAATGGGTCAACAGAATGTCTTACTCATAGATATATGCCTACCGCATGGCACATGGTGGGTGTCCTTCACATGTATGTTGAATAAAGGAATAGTAGGGTAATCTCTACCACTGGTTATTTTATAGTCACCACTCTCAGGACAGTATGTGAGTCCAGGGAAATGGTCAAAAACTCATTCTCCACAATAGTAGGATATAGTTAAATTGAATTCATTTTTATAGGTGTATGATGATTCATAGACCTTGAAGAAAAATTCTGGTCATTACTGAGCTTATTCATCGTGACATGCTTCCAACCTGGCAAACAAAACGCTTTAGAATGTACACTGGATCTTTTAAACCCAGGGCCTCAAGCAAGTTAGGCAAGCTCTACTACATGCTACATCCCTAGCCCTGCACACTGGAGCTTGTTCCTCACAATCTTAGGGTATTTGTTTTTGTTTTTAATTGAAAGAAACAGGCTGACGTAATTCTCCAAAGTCAGTCCCAATTTGTAGGATTTCTTGGGGCTGTTTCCAAGATAGTTTTTCCCCTAAAGGGGTTAATAAAATATTATGCTCTTGAAGAACAGAGAACAGGGAAAAAGCATCATGTAACAGTATCTCTTAAACCTGAGTTTTAAAATTGTGTACTCGCTGACATAACCAAGTGGGAGACCTAAGTTCAGAAAAAAAAGCTCTCCAATCATAAAATTTGCTCATAAAAAAGAACACTCCTCATTCTCTTTACTTGCTAACTGCTCGTTGAAGGTGAGCATAACATAAGGCATAGCAATGAAATCTATGGAACATGCTAATAACTGGTCCCAGAGTCAACATATTGGCTGCTACTTTCGTAACCCATGTGCCTTATTAAAAAGGAACAACTCTTTGGCTATTGTGTCAAAAGGAGCCTTTTGTTGGAATGTGCATACCACAGTAGGTTTTAGAGTGTGGGATCTGGAGATAGAGATGTAGGTTTGGATTCAAGCTCAGTTTTTGTGATTTTTATTAGCTGGAAAAAATCCCTACCCCCCCCACTAATCTTTGGAAAAGTATGAAAATTTAAGAGTGAATAACAGCTAACAACTCCAACAATTTTAGTGCTAGGAAATACAGAAATACTCTGTAAAAATGTTCCCAGCAGCATTTACATAAAGTTCTTAGAATAGTACCTAAAATATGGTAAATACTCTGCATTGGCAATTAAAATCATTACTATTAATTAGCAAAAATTAGAGATATCCATACATTGAATGGTTAAACCTTAATGCAGTTGTACAATGTAGTACTGTTTACAGAAAATGAATATACCAAAGTTACATATATTCATAACTGGATCTCAAAGATATTAAAAAAAATTACAAACTGACTACTGTAGGATACTGTGAATTCTCTAGGAATACAAACTACTTAATGAAATATATGGTGATTTATATATAGAGATTGGAGGGATGTTTTGATTCATCTACTATGATCATGTCTTAAAATGGGAAAGAGGTACATGGCAGTTCACGATATTATTCTTCATACCTTTGCAAAAATCTGGAATGAAACAAATGAATGCTTAAAGTAAGCATAAGATTAAATAGCCCTGATGATTAATAGGACACACTATTAAATTCATTCTAAAAAAATAAACACCACAAGAGCAATATGTATACTTTGCGTTTGGGTAGCTCCTTGGATCCACTTAGCAATTAGAAAATACAATGTGGGCAAATCAGCCACATTTCTAGCTTATATACTGAGCTAGAAGTTCTTTTTTTTTTGCTGTGCTGCGGTTTGAACTCAGCTTATACCTTGAGCCACTCTGCCAGCCCTTTTTTGTGATGGGTTTTTTCAAGATAGACTCTCGAGAACTATTTGGGCACCTTTGAACCTCGATCCTCCTGAGTAGCTAGGATCATAGGCGTGAGCCACTGGCACCCAGCCTGAGCTAGAAATTCTTTTTTAGATATAAACTCATTTTTAAGCTCTAGTAGTTTCCTCCTGAGACCCATCATAATCTCTGCCTAAGGATCACAAACAAATGCTAGTCTCAAAAATCAGGAGGAATTTTCTTAAGTCACTAAAAAATAAAAAAATCAATGATAAAGAAAACACCAAAAATTCAATAACAGACAAAGTTACAAAGTTATACATTTCAGTTTATTTTTTTAATGCTTTATAAACATTATATAGTTTAAGTCGTAAGAGACAGAATCTGGTAGTACCTATACCTGTCGCGTCTTCCATCTCGGGCACTGCTGTGACTGTAACTTGTACATAGTTTACTGAAGGAAACTAGTTTCAGGTCAAGTTCATTTTCCAGCTGTCGAGCCTGTTTCCTGAGATCTTTAACAAAATTATAAAAGCAAATAATTAGACACAGAGTATATCAGCAAACATGAAAATCACAAGGCTATGAAAATAATCATACACTGATCTTTGATTTAGTTCTCCACTATAAAGAAAAGCATTAAAAAGGAGGAAACCAAAGCTTTACCCAAGAAGGAAAATTAGCCATTTATTTAAACTTCAAGATATGGCATAGTGGCTCAAGTGGTAGAATGCCTGCCTATCAAGCATGAAGTCCTGAGTTCAAATCCCAGGGCCACCAAAACAAAAGATTAAACTTCAAATGGGGCAAGAAGGGAAACAGTGGTGGGAGATGCAAATTTTCTGCTTTATTCCAAAGACAGCTAGATAATAAATGTTGCTTAGCATCCTTGAAATTTATAGCAATAACTAAAATTCTATAGTTCAGAGAAAAACAAAAACAGAATAAAAATCACAAAGGAAATGAATATGGTTTATGACCAGTATGACATCAATTCACCAGCTAACTTTGTAAGAAGCCAATCACTGCTTTTGACAGGAATTTTGCTATCTTCTTATGTTCCAAAGCTTTGCTAGATTTTTGTAATTTTTTTCATAACAGTAAAATGACTTGGCACTGAACACAAAAAAATAAATTAACAGAAAACAAACCCAGGTGGCAGTGGCTTGGGCTTGTAATCCTGGCTCCTCAGGAGGTAGAGATAAGAAGGATTGTGGTTTGGAATTAGCCCTGACAAATAATTCACAAGATCCTATCTCAAAAAAAAACCCATCACAAAAAACAGGGCTAGTGGAGTGGCTCAAGTGGTAAAGCACCTGCCTAGCAAGCGTGAGGCTCTAAGCTCAAATCTTATACCATAAAAAAAAAATTAAAAATTGCCTTTTCATAAACTTACTTTAAAAAAATTGGGAAGCAAAACTACCAATGTGCTATATTAACAAGGTCAAACACAGCAGTAAGAGAAATAAATGCGTAAGTTTTAAAAGCAGAAGCAAACAAGCAAGCAGACAAATTGGTACAGTAATTTGGCATCTAAGTGGCTGAGTGAGAGAAGCCTTTTCTGGAGACCGAAGGGAAGGAACGGTATGTCACAGGGATAAGGAATACAAAGAATGTTTCAGTATACTTCGCAGCCAGAAGTAGGAAGCAGAGTGACCTAGTGGAGCATATTTGCTGAGACCAAATCTCAGTTTGAATTTCAGCTCGGCCACTTACTGGCTATGAGATTTATTAACAACCTACTTAACCTAAGAAATCTCAGACTTTTGGCTGGGTGCAATGCCTCATATCTATAATCCCAGCTACTTCAGAGGCAGAGATCAAGAGAATGGTGGTTTGAGGCCAGCCTGGGCTAAAAAAAAGGTAACAAGACTGCAATTTCAACCAACAAGACAGTATGGTGGCAAGGACCTGTGATTCCAGCTATCCCTGGAGGCTTCAGTGGAGGATCATGGTCTGGGGTCTGCAAGGTAAAAAAAATCCAAGAACCTAACTGAAAAACAAGTAAAGCAAAAAAGAGCTGGGGCGTGGCTCAAGTTCAAGTGTGGTAGAGCAGCCTGGCAAGTGGGAGGCAGAGTTTAAACCACAGTACCACCAAAAACAAAAAAATAAAACAACAAAAACTCAACCTTAAAAATACCCCACCCTCAGGATTGTTCTTAAAGCACCTTGGTAGAGAGTATGTTGCTGACGGTAAGCTGCTGTAATTATTATAGTATGGTGTTTCAAAAACCATAATCACTTAAGTATTAAAGATACCAGTAGCCACTTCTACATAATTAAAAAATGTATTGTGGCTGATACGCACATTTCAAATGGGCATCTTAAAGCATGTTTTAATCTATAAACAAACACGCTTCTCTGTAATTTCAGTAATTGTCTATTAGAAAACATCAAGTGAAAGCATTGTGAAAGTAAGACAGGCAAGTATGGGTGAACTTCAATCCAGTTTCTAAGAGGCTGATAGTGACAACACGGTGGTTTTCACAGGTCTTAGTGGGTGGCGTGAGGAAACAGATCAAAAGGGGAAAGGGACTTGGAGAGCAGTTTCCACGGTGCAGTAAAAGCGAAGAGAAAGCTGAAAGGAACAGGTGAGCCTTCTCTGATCGTTGTTCATCATGGTCCATGCATAGGTCTTACATGACCTCACTAGATTGGATCCTACTTTCAGGAATTAAATAAATGCACTTGTTAAATCAGAGGAAGGATTTTTTTGGTGGAAGGTAACAAATTACAACTCACACAGGTTCTTTCAACTTTCTCTTTTAAACAAAACCGATCCTAGACTCCCGGGGCAGAAGGTCAAGTTATTTTCAGTCTTCAAAACCCAGTTCTCCAAGTCTCAACCTGAAACTGCCGACCGGGACCCAAAAGGGGGCAGACGCCGCGCTCAGGTCTGGCTCTCGGTTTTCCGACAGTGACCTCAGCTCCGGTCTTCCGGGCTCCACGCTCGTCTCCTCCCACTCGAGTCCGCGCCCTCAGCCCCACCGTCCGAGTCCCCCTACCCCTCAACCATTTCTCCCCGCAGACACACTGGGGCTCCTCTTCCTCTCCAGCCCCTCTCTGTCCACTCCGACCCCTAACCCGGGTCCCGTTTCCTCCGTCGGGTCAGGCCAGCCCCCTGCCCCAAGTTCCCAGGCTCCGCAATCCAACTAGGCCAGTCCCACCCCTCAGCAGGGCAACTCCAGAGGCCTGGCTCTTTCCTCTGCTGCCTCCCCCAAGACTTATCCTCACTGAATCCCTCTGTCTCTCACGGGAGCCACCCGGAGGCTTCGCCCTCACCTTCCCAGTAATTGCTGGTTCCGGCCGCCATCTTTGCTGCCCAACGTCAGTCGGGATAGGAGACTAGAGGCGACGCGGACCAGAGAGTCACCTCCACGCCTTCTTCCGCCTTGAGAGCTAGGGCCGATGGGATATGCTAGCCTCCACAGACATCGTCCCCTGGTGGTCAGTCGTTGTTCTACAGCTTTTACCTAGGAAGACTGAAAACTGCAGATTTAGCTCCTGATGCAACCTGAATTTCTGTCTCCTGGTTGTCCATACCCGCTTTCCACGCCCCAAATCTTTATCATCTCCCTCGCCTCGGTTGGAGGAGTCATCCTCAAACTTCCTCAATTTCCCTCACTCACCTTCCCTTAAATGTCAGTCTCTTCCTTGCTCACAGCCACCTGTGCTCCAGGGTCCACGTTTTCTAGCTTAAGTGGCCCCCTCCTCCGACCGCTTTTCCCGGTGTCTACAGCAGAGTCTCATCCTCTTTCCTTTCCAGCCATCAGGTCTAGAAAGTGTGTGCTCACTGCTTCCACCCAGCCCCCTCACCCTGTCCAAACCTAATATAGATACATGAATTATCAGTCTACTTCTTTCTTTTTTTAGCTGTAGTGGGGTTTGAACTCAGGGCCTCACACTTGCTAGGCAGGTGATTTTGGAGATGGAGTCTCGATTTTTGCCCAGGCTGGCCTGGACTGCGATCCTCTTTATTTATGCTTCTTGCAGTAGCTGTAATGACAAGTGCGCTACCAGGCCCAGCTTTGGTGTTGACATTTTACCAATTCTAGAGAACTTGTTAGACGCTTTACCTTCTGTGAAGTCCTCTTCTCCGCTGCTGTTTATAAACCACATCAGCTATTGTAATTTTCGCTTCAGCTGTCAGACACACACAATTTTACTCCTTTATTGCCCTTTCTTTCCTGATGTTCCTTCTCTTATCATTTCCTTTCTGTCTCAAGAACTTCCTTCAACCATTTTTTTATTAGCATATATTAGTTGTACAGGGAGATTTCATTTACACATGTGCCTATAATGTATTTTGATTCACCCCCTCCATCATTTCTCCTTCATCACCCTCCCCCCTACCATTTTTTTAAAGAGTAGGTCAGTGGGTGAAAATTTCTATTAGATTTTCTTAATCTGAGAATGTTGACTTATCCTCCACATAGAACCTGGGGTAGACAATTTCTTCTTACTATTTTCCTCCTCCTCCTTCTCCTCCTCCTCCTGTCACTCTCCTTTCTTCTCCTGTTGAAAAATGTGCCAATTTCTTCTGGCTGCCATGGTTTTTAATGAGAAATTGACTGTCATTGTGCCTCCACTATAGCTATCTTTTCTCTCTCAGTGCTTTCAATTTTTTTCTTTAGTTTTTGTAGGTTTATTATATATCTTGGTGTAGATTTCTTTTTTTCCTTTTTGGGGATTTGCTCAAATTCTTGAATCTTATACTTATGTCTTTTGCACAATTTGGAAAATTTCTAGCCATTATTTCTTCTAGCACTTTTATTTGCTTCATACCTTTTTTTTCTTCCCCTCTCCCTACCTGGACACTGATGACATGACTGCTAGATCACAAATCCCTGTGACTTCTAATTTTTTAAAATTAATCTCTGTATTTATTTATTTACCTTTTTGTGGTGGTACTGGGGTTTGAACTCAGGGGCCTCAAGCTTGCTAGGTAAGTGCTTTACTGCCTGAGCCACACCACCAGCCCACAAACTGCTGATTTCTTTCAATATATTTTCCATTGTTCTGATTGGGTTATGTCTACTATTCTGTCTTCCAGTTCACTGACAGGCAAGTATGTCTTTCCTCTGTCCCCTCCATGCTGCCCATATGCCGACTTTTTTTTGGCAGTATCGGGGTTTGAATTCAGACCCTTGTGCTTAATAGGCAGGTAGACTACCACTTCAGCCATGCCCCTGGCCCTCAGGTATTATCCTGAACCTTCTATTTAAGATTTCCTGACATTGTGCTAGTGGGAAAGGCTGAGACCTGCCTTACTCTTCCCAGGTGGGAGTCAAGGGTCAGTTACTCTCTTGACCTTCATTGATACACCAGGTGTGAGGGGTGCCTTGTTACTGCTCCCCATGTGTCCCCCCAGCACCACAGCAGGGGCCTTGTCACTATTGTGCAGTAAGGAAACTTCTGGCTCCCTACTTCGCCTCCTTTGGCATCCCCCATGTTGTGCGTGGGGTGCTTCATTACAGGCAGGTGAAGAGTTGGAAGTTGAAATTCCCCACTCAGTCTTGGCAGAGGGTGGAGATGGGCTGTTTTCTTTGTGGCATTTGTCTAGAGCAGAGCAATTATTGTCTAAAAATACTCTGTCTTGCTAGACTACTCATTTCTTGGTCCTTTTTCTAGAGAGAGAAAGCTTTCCTTTGGGCTCTTCTTGTCTATGCCCTTGGTATTTCTGGGTTTCCAGCTTCTCCAGCACCCATTAGGGGATATATGAGGCCAAGAGAAAACCCAGAGAACTCACTTCCATGTTATTATTCATGTCTGTTCTTCTTTCCACCTGTCAGAGTTGTCTTTTTGTTTTATACATAATGTTATGAGGCTTTGCTGTACTTAGTGGGAATGTCAACTCTATCTTGTCCCGAACTGAAGTTCTCCATTAAATTTTTAATATTCTAATTAATACCATTCTTTGCCGTGTATTCCACTTTCTTGAACTTATTCATTAGCATTATTTTATTAATGTCTGGGACTGTTTCTCTTGTCTTCCTTGATCTTCCATCATTTGATCTTACTCTTAATTGAACGCTGCATATTGTGGATGAGATCTGTAGTAATTAGTGGAGGCTCTGGGTGTCGCCATCTTCCTCCAGACAGTTTACTCCTGCTTCTTGCAGGCGGCTCAGATAGGGGCAGATCAACTTAATCCTGTATGGGATAAAATTGTTGTTAGTGGAGCTCTGTGGTTATTAACATTGTTCCATTTTTGGTTAGCCCTTACTTTTAAAGTGTAGCCATTCAGGTTTCCTAATTGAATGCGTGTTTACTGGTGCCTCTCACCTTGACAGGTTCTGAACTCATTATTGCCTAAAACTTCTGTTCTTCTGTGCCTTTTGCCTGGCCTCTCTGCTACCTCTTCCTTCTACCTCTATTTATGGAACAACCTCAAGGCAAAGATTTTTCTGTCACATTCACCTCTCAACACCCTTTGTTCTAGACTCTTGATCCTTAAGTCTTCTTCAGTTCTCCAATTCTTTAGTGTTTTGTCTTTATCCAACTTTTCTAATTGTTCTTGCGAATACTGGTTGGTTTCAAGCTGATCCAACCAGAAATATAAGTAGGACTAAATTGTATTCTTCCTAATTTATCCATAGACTATTTTGTATTTCCCTCATATGTAATCATATCATTTCCAAATGTTTCTTTTTCTAAAAAAAAAGTCAGTATCCTCATCTTGTTATCTTCATGGCTGAAATCTGTCAGTAGAGCAAAGTTCAGGTACCTCAGTGGGTTTTTTTTGTTGGTTTGTTTCAATGATGGGGAGGGTTTGAAAGTGCTCCAACTCTGCAGCTCTCATTTGACTGGCAGGATTCTAAGTTGTCTTCTCTTGCTTCTTTACTTTCATCCCTAATTGCCCAAGGGTGCTTTTCTTTGTTCACTAGAAGGCCAAAGACTGTTTTATTAAACAGTCACACCTGCACACTTTACATTGCATTCTTTGCAGCCCCTTCCCTCCAGCTTGTTCTCTGAGCTACTTGGACACATTTAGACCATTCAGACTTTGGTGGACTCAGTCTTTGTGGCAGTAGCTTTGGACCAGCATTACAACACTGTGCCCTTTTGCTGGTATCCCTGGTCTGTCTTCCCTGTGTTATTTCCGTCTGCCATTAGCCCACACAGCCTTGAGGAGGGGGGCTATGTGAGTACATGCTGAGATTTGGTGATTTTTCTGTAATTTGAACTTTTGAAATTCTTTGATTTCAAATTACCCACAGTATTGTTTCTATAGATTCACCTTTTCCATCTTATGCTTTGCATTATTTTGTAATGAAATACAAAAGACTTTTAAGTTCACTTTCATTCCTTTTTTTTTTAGAGTTTCACTGTAGCACAAGCTGACTGGTCTTGAACTCATAATCATCCTGTATCTGCTTCCTGAGTGTTGGGATTTACAGATGTGCACCACCACACCCAGCAATAATTACACTTAAGTTTTCTATTCTCCACTCTTTCTCCTCTTCTCTAGAATCATCAAACATGGGCTTATGCAAAATTCACATTTTTAATCTGTACTTTCTTTCTGAGACATGGTCTCACATCTCCTGCCTCTGCCTCCTGAGTGCTGGGATTATAAACTTGTATTACCATGCCCAGCCAGCATTTACCCTCTTTTTTCATACATATTTTCTACCCTTTTCTCTGTGCTGCATAATAATTTCTACAGATCTTCTAGCCACTACAACTATCCATTTTTAGTTCCAGTATCTTTCATTTCCAGAAGTTTATTATTTTATAGGTTTCCTGTGATAGCCTCAGCTGAGTTTTTTATTTCTTCTTTTATAGCATTTGATAATGTTAGCATCTAAAACTTGATTATAACCTTTTCCACTCATTTTTACTGCTGGTAAAAACAATTGTGAGGTCCCCTCCAAGTCTCAGATGGAGATATCTTCCACTAGAGATCTGACTTTAACCCAGTCACCCAGAGGTACCACCACGGCTTAATCCCTGGGCCAACCACACTATGCTAAAAGCAAGCATGTTATTTTTTTGGCACTTTTGGGTGAGGTTAAATGGCATCCTGTTCTCTATTACTGTGTAGAGGTTAGGTTCTAGAACTTCCTGTGCCACCTTTTCAAATGTGTTCAAGTCCTACTAAATAGAAACCCTGCACAATCCTTCCTTTGCTGCCCTCAACACCACATTCTTCACATTATAACCCAGCAGGCAACTCTATTCTCCTTGCCACATTATAAATCTAAAACTATTCTAAAATTATTTTTAAGTAATCGAACAGTCCTCTAACTCAGTCATTACCATAACCCAATACCCCATCTTCCTACGCCCTACCTTTAGGACCAATTTTCTGAGGTTCCTCACATCTTTTCAGATGCTAAATCAAGAGCCTGTTTGGTTTGAAAAACTCTTCTAGGAACAATGTGATCTACATTAAGTGACAACGATTATAAGCATTGGAACAACTTAATATTTGAAATTAGTAGTGATTCAGTTCTAGTGAAAAGAATTATGGTGGTGGTGCTGGGGATCGAACCTAGGACCTCACACAAGCTAGGCAAGCACTCTACCACTGAGCTACACCCAAGCCACATATCCCTTTCACTTTGACTCAACTTTAATGACAATCAGAATATAATCCATGTTATTTTACCAATTTCTATTTAACTGCATGGCATTTCTAAATGTTCCATCTTAAATTTCTCCATCCATTACTGTTATTTTCCACCTACAGCTTTATCATCGCCTCTTCATGTTGCTTCCAGTGGATGATTATATTCAGTCTTTTTTGGAGGGACTGGGGTTTGAACTCAGGGCTCATACTTGCTAGGCAGGTGCTCTACCACTTCAGCCACTCCACTAGCTGTTGCTTCCAACGGAATCAATACATTACCTTTGTCGAAGGTGAGAAACTTCCACTTTCAATACCCTTCCACCTTCAGTCTAATCAACGTAACTCTCACCTTTTTGTCTTCAGTCTTCTTCCAGGCTGGCCTCTAAATGTGAATACTTTTAAAGGCCAGACTGTCATTCTTGCTCATCTTGTCCACACTTGTTTACTAATTTCACCCAAAAGTGCCAAAGAGATAGCATGTTTGCTTTTAACATTCTACTGGTTAATATAAGTGGAAATTGTAATAGTAAATAAATATTGGACTTTATCTGATTTCATTGTTTTTTAAATTCTGGTAAAATTAATGATGTAATGATCTGAGGCTTGTAAGTGTACAATCATAGAATCATTTGTCATTCTAACTGCAAGCAAGAGTGAGACAGTGAGAGATGAAGGCCTATGGCTAGCCCTTATTCAGAATGGAGTAGTGTATTTACTTTGCTGATAACAATTAGTTCCTACAAATCTGACAAACTACATACATATAATTGCTATAGTATACTGTTTATGAAACAAACCAAAAGGATTCTTGATTCAGGTATGAGAAAACAGATAAAACTCAGGAAAAGATGTCAAACATTAAGAGATAAAAAACTATTATCATTGTCCAGACTTCCTGTAGCATTTAAATAAGTCATCAAAGAAGAAGCATAAATACAATCTAGTTTCATTTGAAAAGAAATATGATCATTTGGCACAATTAAAACTCTACTGTGTGCTTTAGACAATCTGTTGAACCACACAATGTAAGAAATTTTCCAATTAAGTATTCATATGTAGATAATCCTTCTAAGTTAAAAAGAACATCTGTACAAAGATCTTTGTTCATATAGTTGACAAAGTAACTTTCTTTCAAAAGAATCAGAAAACAGCCAAGTGAAGGATAATGATGTTGGTTACTATGGATATTCAATTCTTAGTCACATATTATGCTAATGATACGTCACTTCATCCTACTATAATTTTACCAAGGATTATTCCTTAACTAGTAGTGAAACTGAGACTCAGTGAATGTTATGAGATTTGTGCAATACAAGCTGACCTAGGAAGCAAATGGCAGAGCCAAGATGGTAGGCTCAAACCTCTCTGCTCTACTTCCTTGCACGCAGAGGCTTTCTTTTTAGAGGAACTAAATACTACCGAGGAACAACTCATTTCTATTTCTCTAGTCTGGACTATGAGTTCCTAGTCAGCAAGGCCCATGTTTCTTTTATAGCTTTGCTTAGAATAACAGTTACCAATCAATTGTTGGCACATTATTCTAATCAGGGTTCACCTAGAAAAAAGGACCAAAAATTTTAACAAGTAACTTCAAAAATGGGGATATAAGCCTTTCAATCTTTCTTGATCCTGAAGATAGGGCACAGAATAGGTAGGAAATGGCCATAGTGTTAAAATGCCGAGTTTGCTACTGTTTGTGGTATCATTGTGGAATTATTGGATATTTATCATTCTAGATGAGCTACAAACAGAAAAGAGCACTGCAGCTATTATATGATGTGGTCACTTCTGAAACAAAGCTTTCTTTTGAGTCAATTCATAAAGACAAACATTCTATAGATGATACCCTGTATTCTGATCCTGGTACTATTTTCCGTCAGTATAGGTAGAAAAACTAATATATATACATTCAAATTGGACCAAAAACTTTCTCTGGTCTATTGCTTTTGAAAAAAGATTATGAGACAAAACACAAAGAAAGACAAACATCATAAAATAACTTTTATACAGGATTAGTAGATCTGTTTACATATAAAAAAACAGAAAGGACTTAATTACAGTTAGATTTCACATAAATTACAGATTGACTCTTAAAACTATTCAATTTCATTTAAAGTCCCTTTAAAAATTTTCATTTTGAAGGCACAGTGCATGAAATAAACTAAAGACTGAAGCACTTGAGATGAACGGGTGTTGGGCATGTCATACAAACAGCGAACAGACAGTTCTGGATCTGGGAAGTATCATTCTAAAAAAATGGAGAGGTGAAAAGAGCATTAAAAAAATACCATGATTTCATGCCTTCAGAAAGCCTGCAGCATGGCCAACACAGAATGTAGCTGGTACACTTGGGTTATGCATTAAATAAATCCTAATCATATAGATTTACATAATTTTTATCCAAATGCTTTAAAAGGGTGACCTACTTTCAATTTTATAATGTATTCTGTCAAATCAAAATCAACCAGGACAATATTTTGAAAGTCAAGTGTAATCATTAATGAATTATTCACAAAATAGGAGGAGAATTAGGTGTTGGGAAAGATTTCTTCATGAACTAGAAATCCAAGTTCAGTTGATGTTAATCAAGGATCCTAATCATCTCCCCCCAAAATCTGCTTTAATTAAAACAAACCAGAAACCCGAAGTTCTCAGAAAGCTGCTGGAGTCAAAAATTACTGAGCAACCATCAGTAGTGGTATTTTTGATGATAATAACAAAGCAAAGATATAGGAGGAAATGCTGGGTTGCTATTGTTAAAACAATTCTACCAGAGAACCACAACACAGGGCACTGATATAGAACTCATGGCTAAGAAGCTTTTAATGCAGCAGGGACAAATCTGGCACAAGTGCATTTCTGGTAACAAAAAAGATAAGCCTAGTTAATGCTGAGAATAAATGGAAATGGAGAAGGTCATGGTTACTGAGTAACCTGGGGTTAGCTCAGAAACAATGAGTTCAGATATTCGTACTACTTTTGGTTTGTCAACTCAAATCCCATTCAGATGAAAGTAATTAACGGTTAACCAATCAATCACACTGTGCCAAAAATATAATGCTTCCTTTCTGGAAGATGACAAAGGCCCAAAGAAAAATCCCTTCAGTGAGAATTGCAAGCATTCCTCAACTGCATGGGACGCCATGCACTAATCAAGTGTTCCACCAAATACATCAAAGCCAAAGAACTTCTCCTTCCGAAATTACTTGGGCTCACCTTATGGAAGTATATAATCAATACAAGTACAGTACATTCACATAGGCAGACACTTTGAACATTACCTACTCAATCACTTTGCTTTTATTAAGGAGCTGGGAGGGAAGAAGGCTTACAAATTTATCACCAGGACAAAACCATGCCTTGTGAGTAAAGAAAGGCACAACTCAGATTTGGGCAAATTTCTTAATACTGTGATACTTACTTGCCTCTATGACTTTAATTAAATGGAAAGTCTCTAAGACAAACACTGAAAAGTTGCATTCCCAATCCTGTATGACTTCAATGCCTTCTGCTGTTAGTGTGGTCTAACATTAGATTAGATCCACAAATAAAAGTCAGAGCAGGGCTGAGAATACAGTCTTAGTAGTCATGAATCCTGTACATTCATGTTCATAGGTAACATAGGCGGAGAAGGCCTTGTTTTCTAGCTAAGTGATTTAGAAATTCATTCAAATAAAAGACATAGCAGAATTTGGTTTTTTGTTTCAGGAAAAATTACTAAAAGAACTATTTGTATGTTCATCTCTGAAGAAGTTTTATATATACCTAAAAGGTATAGCCTCCAATCACTGAGATTACCTTAAAGACATGTCTAATTCAAGAGAGAAATAAATGTAAAGGTATCCTTCAGTGAAAACCAATGCCAATAAAGCAAAGGCCATGATATCACATTGTTTCATTTCTAGTTGTAATGTCCCAAGCAGGACCAGCCATTCGTAGACCCCTTGTTGGTTTCCTGACTTTGCACTCTTAAAAAGCTGAAAAAGAGCAATACACCGTATACTTAAAACATAAAGTGTTATTAGAAGAAACTAAGTCTTTGTATTTCTTTACCAATTAGCATCCCAAAATCCACATTCTAGGCATGTGGTGGGATGAAAGTGAGGGGGCAGAATTCAGAGTTGCTAATACCAGGATTAATACTAGAATGGCTCAACCTTAAGCCACCCAAACTTACTATGGATATTTGTTAACAAGTATCATGACTTCATCATTTCTCTAAACAAGATCTCTATTTTATAAAGCCACTTTGGATGTACTCCTCACAAAACCTGGTTGAATGACCTTGGTGAGTTGAGTAAACTCCACAGGAAAGCTTTGGGAAAACTGATACATCAATGGATATGAGTACAATTTTAAAAGATAAGAGCTAGTTTTTTTGATCCCCTGATTTAGTACAACTTCAGCAGCAACTTGGCCATTAAAACATTCAACCATTAAACCATTACGTCATTGGTAAGACTCATACTTACAAAAGCATCATTTCCACTGAACAGCATAAGACAGTCACAATAAAATGCAAATCTTTCAGGTCTTGGGCCTGACTGGCAGTGAAGATGACACTTTTACACCACAGTGTTATATCACACAACAGTCCTTAGTTTACATTTTTTAATGGAGGGAACTATATTTTAAAGTGTTTAACTGAACTTTTTTAAACAAAATTGGTTGGTCAGAAAAAGAGACTGTCAAATGAAATAGTAGGACAAAGAACCCAATCACTTGCAGAGGCTCATGAGAACAAGACTGGCAGAGCTGGTTCAATAACAGTATGCTCTACAGGGCGAAGGCTGGGGCTGGAGCACGAAGTGTAGATATTTTGTGTACAAATGTAGGTTAAGAATGTGCAAACAGGTTTCATCCACACTTCCAGATATTTTCATTAGAATTCAGAACTTGTAGATGGCTGGGTCATCTGAAAACCATAAGTGTACAACGTAGAAAAAGGTTCGCATTTTGGAAATATTAATTAGGCTTTCCTAGAATAAACTAGTGCTTCACAGATAAAAGCAGCAGCACCTGTGGGTTTTACCAAGTTAAAAGATAGGCAACATGAGTTGCAGCTTTTGCTAGGTATCCCTCTCACCTCCATTCAAGTGGACATTTAGATCTTTCACAACAAAGTCAATGAGTTCGCCCTTAAAATGGGAATATTTAGAACTTTGCTGAACCTTACAAGAGAGGTAGTGAAATCCTGCTTACAGCATAGCCCATCAGTTCTGATCTAGCCTGGAAACAGGTAGAAAAACAAATTCGGAAGCCCTAATTTCATTCATTTCCTAATGTCACATATGTTTAAAGATCATTCAACCTCCATTAAACCTGAATGAGAAACTCTAGCTATTTAATAACTAGAGAAGAGTACTCCTCAGTAGGTTGAAAAAACCTTGAGTTTTTAAAGCTTTATGTCAGAGTCTGACTGCTGTCCCTGCCTTAGTATTTCTGGATTCTTTTGGCCTTTAAAATAAAGAAAAAAAGCTAAAGCCACTAGTAAATACCTGATGTGCAAAATACAACATCCACTAGTTGGCTTTATGCTGTTATTATATAAGCTCTAAACAGCTCATCTTAAATTAAAAAGAAAAACAAAGTAGCTGTCCCATCTCTGCTGCATAAATAGAAATCAGATTTTTTGAAAAGGTTAAGAGTACTTTGAAGGAGGGAAGTTCAAAACTGCCAGTGAAATTCACAGAGAATATAAATTTAGCAAGTTAACTTCCCAAAGCTCTTTGAAGAAGCAAGATAGTTTCTTCTAATGCAGTGTCTCCCAAGAGGAACTGTTCTTTTGGTTGGTACTGAAGCTGGGAGATATGCCACGTGTATGTATCAATGTTTGCTAGAATATAAGGTTTCCTCTTCAGTGTCCGTTTCATCCTGGAATTCATGGCTTAGGAGGGACTTCTTGGAGCCAGTTGACATCATACGAATTTCATCTTCATACTCATCATGGTGTTGTCTGAGCCGATGAAAGCCATCCTTGTGTCTGTTAGACTTGATTGAGCATATGCACCAAATAATGCAAGCTGTTAAGATCAATGCTGACATGGTGGCACCTGCCCAACAAAAACCAGTGTGTGAGGGTATTATAATTTGAGGACACAAATACGCAGCTACCTTCAATGGCACTTTTAATAATATGTCATTTATTTTATTCTTATTTCATGCACTTAAGAACAATCCTTTGGGGTGGGGGATGTAGCTCCATGGTAGAGCAATTGCTAGCCTGCAAGAGGTCCTAACCAAAAAAAAAAAAAAAAAAAAAAAGCAACCTTTTATTATTATAAAAGTAATACATGTATGGTATGCAAAATTAGAAAATACAGATAAGTAAAAATTATAAAGTCCCAAGCCCTATATCTTTATACTTCTATTACCCAGAGATCACTTTTAATTACCTTAGTGCAGATACAGACTCCCAATTCTTTCTTTCTTTTTTTGGTGGTACTGGGATTTGAGCTAAGGACCTTGTGCTTATTAAGCAGGCACTCTACCACTTGAGTCATACCCTTAATCCCTTTTGCTTTTTAGTTAATTTTCAAATAGGGCACTGTGTTTTTGCCTAGGCCAGCCTGTACATGATCCTCCTACCTGCACCTCTCATGTAGCTTGGATCACAGAGGCACACTACCACACCAAGTTTATTGATTGAGATGGTGTCTTGCTAACTTTTTGTCTGGGCTTACCTTGAACTACAACTCTCTCTGCCTCCTAAGTAGCTGGAACTATAGCAGTGAGCCACTGAAACTGGATCTCCCATATCTTTATTTATGCCTGTATATATATATTTTTTTTACCATAATGAAATTACACTGTTTTTCTGCACCCTGTTTTTTTTTTTTTTTTTTTTTTTTGTGGTGCTGGGGATCAACCTAGAGCCTTGCACATGCTGGTTAAATGCTCCACCACTGAGTCATACCTCTAGCTCTTAAAACCTGTTAACATATTATCAATCAATTACTTCTATTTTTCCTTTCTAATAAATTTTCATTTCATCTGAAAGCCCTTCTTTATTTTAAATTTGTACATAAGGTTATCAAGTAAGAGTCTTAGTAACTAATAATAATAAAAATAATAATGATAAAATAACAGTACTTATATTCACTACACCTAATGGGTAGAACAGCCAGATTTAAGCCATGCCTGAATCCTAGTTTCTGTGGTTTTTTTTTTTTTTTTTAGGGGGCAGGAGTTTGAACTCAGGGTTTTGCACTTGCTAGGCAGGCGCTTTAGTGATGGAGCCATGCCTCCAGCCCTTTTTGCTTCAGTTATTTTGGAGATAGGTCTTGCTTTTTGCCCAGGCTGGCCACAATCCTCCTATTTTAAGATTCCCACTGTAGCTGACATGACAGGTGTGTACCACCTCACTCAGCTTTCTTTCATTGAGATGGGTCTCACAAACTTTTTTGCCTGGGATACCCTAGAACTGTGATCCTCCTGATCTCAGCGTCCCACATAGCTTGGATTACAATCATAAGCCACTAGCAGCACCCAGCTGCTCCTGTGTTTTTAATCACTAAATTCTTCACACTTTCTCTGGCTCAAGTTAAGAACTCTCAACATTCTACTACAGGCTATATGACTGCACATGTTCCCAATATACACATTTTCCCAAATAAGGATCCCTCTCACATACACCCTTGTAATAAAACTCAGTCATTTTCACTTCGAGTCCAAGTTGCGTTTACTGGGTCAAATAGGCACAAAACAATGCAGTATTTATTTTACTGTATCCCCCCTCCCACAAACCTCTCAGTAATTCAAACAATGGCACAAATTAATCCTGGAAAAAACCCCAAAACATCTCCTCTTTCTTGGATCTTGGAAAACTAACTTAAGTCAAAGTCCTATAAACTTGTGTGATTTAATATAAAGTAAATCATTCGCTTCATTCAACAACTTTTCCTTAAGTCCCATCACGCACCAACTATGGCCCTAAGCTCTAGGGATTGCAGATCTACTCTGTGCTGCCCAAAGCTTATGTTTTAGTGGAGGAAATTAAATACAGACAAATAAATGAATAAATATATATCAGGTAGTAATAAGGTCTAAGATGGAAAAAAGGTTGGGTAGAGATAGTGACAGGAGGGATTAGGGAAGGCCTCTCTGTGAAGGTGAATTTGAGTACAGACCTGAAAAAGAGAGGGAGCAAGCCTGGAGAACATGTGGGAGAACAGTAGCTCAGGAAAATCATGTTTAGATATGGAGGCATTAGGAAAAATCAGCTGTAGGTGATTGTAGAGGTGATCCACTCTCGAAATGGCAAGACTGGTTTTAACTTCAACTACTAAAAAGTGAAAGTTTCCTTACCTGATACAGTTACCACAAGCTCCCTTGGCAAGCCAAATATCCGGTTATCTGTGTCAAAAACTATTACCACAGAACTAGCTGCATCATGATGCACAAAGACCTAGGAGGATAAAGTCCAAGAATTATGAAAAAATTCATTTATGGTATACTGTAGCCCTGTCACATTAAATGCTTAGGGCCTTAGGAACAAACCAAGATGATTCCTTGTCTTCCAAAATATTAAAAATACTATGAATTCCCTTTTGTTGCCAAAGTATAGAAAAATAAATTTTGACAACAAAAAGGTACTAGGGCACCATAATCAAGAGGTTCTTTATTTCTTTATTCAATTTCAACAAGAGTTTCAAAATAAAATAGAAGTACTATTGAAAATAAGAATTTACATAATGCTATTCAATTTGAGTTTCTTACCTGTGAATGTTGTTGCTGATACCCATCAGCAATAGCATTGATGTTATGGACACCTGGAGCTAACAGTACGTGGAAATAACCTCCCTCTTTTGTGTATACTTTTATTCCTTCATTGAATACAATGACGGCTTTAGAGATTGGTTTTCCAGTCTTATCTTTAACAAATCCATGAACTCCCTTGTGAACCTGAAACAAATGTTAAAAATACAGATTTATGTTTTCATAATGTCAGATATTCTAGGGACAATAGCTTAAGGCATGACCAAAAATAAACAAACACACACAAAAAATCCAGTGTCAGGTATGGTGGTTCATGCTTATAATCCCAACTACTTGGGAGGGTGAGGGCAGGGAGGACCATGAGTTCAAGGCTCCCCTCAGCAAGTTAGCAAGCTCTGTCTAAAAAGCAAACAACCAAACAACAATAAGAATAACAAAGCAACCCTGTAAACCTGGTTTATTCCATCTTTCCCACTAAACCTGACCACATTTGTTACTTATTTGATGCTTCATGGTCATAGGGAGAAAAGAGAAAGAAGAACTCTAATAAATCAAAGCCTAAAGCATTATAGAACCCAATTTGTGAATGGCATGCGTGATTTCCTTCCCACCACAATACATTAACTCCAGTAACTGTGTGATCTTCAGATTGAAGAACCTGCAATATCTCACATGGCAAATTATACAAGATTCCAAGTATATGAGTATATTATTTAAGCAACATAAAATGAACAAAATGCACCTTTCTATATGCATTTAAAATAAATAATACAAATTTTGGTAAAAGAAGACAATGTTGTGATACAGGTTTTCATCGAATGTATTCCTGTGATGGAGCCTAGCATCATATGTGAGGCTTCTGGTTTGATCCTCAGTATTAGGAAAAAGGGCAGGGAAGGGAAAGAAAGGGGAAGAGGAAAGGAAACAGAAAGAGATAGGAAAAGGGAAGGGAAGGGAAAGGAGAAAAGAAAGGCAGGGAAAATAAACACAAAGAAAGAAATACTCACCTCTACCAACATGCTAAGAAGAGACTTTTTATTTTCTGCCCACAGGGAAGGGAGTTGTGCTGCACTGGGAAAGTAGCAGCAGCTTGTATACACTGTGATTTCTGGGCAATGGCCATAGGTGACACTATAATCCTGGAATATAAAGTTCAAAATCAAATGCAGGAAAACTAGTAAATAAAAGTAGGATGAGGCTTTGTAAAACAACAAATGGAATAAAAGGAATAAAAAGAAGACCTGGGTGATACAAACAATTTATAACACATTTTATGGCAAATATAAATAAACCACTCTGTATAATAGTGGGTCCAAACATGGCCGCTCCTAAGTGAACCCCTGAGGACAGGGACTATTTCTAATTCATTTTTATACTCTACAAAGCCTGGTAAGTACAGGGTGTTTATTAGGGTTTACTGAGTAAATGATTAAGAGCATGCAGAGTGCCAGCTTCTCTTTCAGCCCTGGAACTTTCCTGTTGTTCTTGAAGCCCTGGGAGTGGAAGAACAAGCATTTGTTCCTTGATATCCTCAGCCTGAAAACTGCTGGTAACAATAGTCACTGCAATATAGCATTTAGCTAGGCACAGGAACTGTCTACATGGACAGGCTCAAAAACTTCACTTACCATCTTTTCCTCCCAACTTATTCTTTTTCCTAATTCACCTAATGGTATTTCTTCACATAGCCATGAGACCTCATCTTTGACTTCTCTAATCTATAATTCACCAAATCCTGTCAACTCTACTTATATACCAAATCTGAAATTTCATCCCTTAATTACTCTCCCATTGCCATTACCCTAACCAAGGCCCTCATTACTTCTTGTCTGGACTATTCCAAACCAGGTTTTCCTTCAAACTATCATTAATGCACTATTAAGAGATTAATTTTTCCCACAACACAGCTCAAATCATGTCACTATATCCTTGTTCAAAGCCTTCAGTGGCTTCCCATTTCTTATGAAAGCATAGCATTCAGTACTCTAAACTCTCTTTCCATTCTGGTCTCTGTTACAACCTATACTCTTAACTAAATTAGCCTGCTTATTGACCTCTAGCCCTTCAGCTTCCTCTTTCTAAAATGCTTTCTGTCACCATCTCTGTATCTCAAATGTTATCTCCTCTATAAAGGGAAGGCTACATCTCTGACTAGGTATAATTTTAACTTTTCATGACATGTTGAGAACTGCACTCTTCCAGATCAAATCAATTATTCTGTATCACAGTTATTTGTTCAATAGGCCATGGAATATATTTTATTGCTAATATAGCAAAGTGTCTCCTACATAGTAAATAGTGCGTCCCACAGAGTTCTTAGTAAATACAGTAGAGAAGACAGAGATAAAAATGAAATCAATTTTCTGGTTGCACATATGAAAAGAATGACCAGCTAATCACTCATTACCTAATTTGAAGTGCATGGATGACCAATTAAAATGCTGTCAGAAAGACATCAAAGATCTAAATAAATGGAAAGACATACTATGTTTATGGGTAGGCAGATAATATTGAGATATCAGCATTATCCAAAGTGATTTATAAATTCAACATAACTCCTAAGAAAATTCCAATAGCCTTTTTTTGCAGAAAAATAAAAGCCACTCTCAAACTAAATTGGAATTGCAAGGAGTCCTGAATACCCATGACAATCTTTAAAAACAACGAAGTTAAAGGATTTATGCCTCCCAATTTTAAAAATTACTACGAAGCTATACTGGTATTGGCAAAAGGATAGACATGTAGAACTGAAAGTCCAGAAATAAACCCATATATCTATGGTCAACTGATATTTAACAAAGGTGTCAAGACTACTCAATTGGGGAAGAATAGACTTTTCAGCAAATGATGCTGGAAAGGTGGATCTCTACATACAAACAAGTGAAAATGAACTCCTACCTCATATCATATATAAAAATGGACTCAAACAATATCAAGAACTAAACCCATAAAACCCTTAGAAGAACAGAGTAAATCTCCATGACGTTGGATTTGGCAATGGACTCAGATCTGCCAACAAAAGTATGAGAAAACAAAGAGACAGACTGAATTCATCACAATTTAAAACCTTTGTACATCAAAGGACATGATCAAGAAAGCAAAAAGACAATCTACAAGACGTGAGAAAAATATCTGCAAATCATATACTTGGTAAGGATTTAATATGCAGAATGTGTAAATAACTACAGCTCAACAACAAAAAGACCCACAACTCAATTTAAAAATGGAAAAAAGACCTGAACAGGTATTTCTCCAAAGAGACATAGAAATAGGCAACAAACACATGAAAAGATGTTCCAACATCATTAGCATCAAATGCTAAAATGCAAATCAAAACCACAATGAGATACCACTTTATACCTATTAAGAAGGGTATACTTAAAATCACAAGCCTTAGGTAAGTATATAGAGAAACTGGAATCCTTAAACATTGCTGATAGGAATGAAAAATCGTATACAATTGCTGCAGAAAAGTTTGGCAGTTCTTCAGTGTTAAACATGGAATTAACAATATGACCCAGTAATTCTACTCATAGGTATATATTCAGAATAAGTGAAAACAAGGGCTTTAACAGATACCTGTATGCCAATATTCATTGAAGTATTATTTGCAGTAGCCAAAAGGTAGAAACAATCCAAGTGTTCATCAACACACGAGCTGATAAACAAAATGTGGCATATACATACAATAGAATATTCTTTTGCCATAAAAAGAAATGGATAATGTCTAAGGACTGGGGAAATGACTCAAGTGGTAGAGCAATTGCCTAACAAGTGAAAAGCCCTGAGTTCAAATCAAAGTGCTGAAAAAAATTTTTTTTAAAGAGGGGAGGGGACACAAAAATGAATGAACTCTAAAAACATTATGCTAAATGAAAGAAGTCAGACACAAAAGGATAAATATTATATAGGTCCACTTAAGAATATTTAGAATAGGCAAATTTATAGAGACAAAGTTCATTAGAGATAACAGGAACTATGGGATGAGGGGAACAAGGAGCTATTGCTTTGTTGGTACAGAGTTTTTATTGAGGGCAATAAAAAGGTTTTGGAAATAGATATGGTGACGGTTGTACAATATTGTAAATGTAATTAATGTCATTAAATTGTACAATTAAAAATTATTAAAATGGTAGAAAAAAAAGATTGCTGTCAGGTTAATTTAAGGCCTAAACATGTCAAGAAAGCAATGAAGCAGATGCCATTCATTCTGCTCTGTCCTAAAAGTAACCTATTCTTTTGCTCATGGCCAATATTCATAATTCCATCCTGTGTTTATAAAACATACCTTCATGCTGCCCAGGTGACTGTGCCATTCTGCTCCACGCATTACTCCTCCAGGTATATTCTCATCTATAAGAGCATTAAGAGATGTAGGATCAACAAGATGATAATGCAAGGCAACATCTCCCCCAGAGCAAACATAGCAGTGATTAATAATGAAGGGAAGGGAAAATACCCACCTGACTTATTTGGGCAACTGGGCTGACCCATGTGCATTGATGGATGGTTATTTGCATAAAGAGAAGCCAAATGCTTCAGAGTCTCTTTGTTTTCCACTACAAAAAAAATTTCATAAATCAGTGGGGACATCTAAAAGATTTTTGTTCAAGTTCAACATTATGTTGTCTTCCTTTCCTTCCAGTAAATCTTATATTCCACTGAAGATTTGAGGAGTTATTATAATTAAATAAATGGCTTGGTTTAGTCCAGAATAATTAGATTTAGAAGACAAACATCTTCCTTACATTAAAAGGTACTAAATGAGTTTATACAACAGGCTACTGCACTAAAATACAAACTTGTCTTGGTATGTTTTACCTCACTTGGGGGCAACTGTGGTCTGATAATATTCATTATAATCTATGTTTACAAATGCTATGATGCCACAGAGATTCAACAAGCAACTACTTAACTTATCATAAAGTTCAACCTGTCAGTCAGACTTTAAAGCAGAGAAAGGAACTTCTGTACTATTGTATGTGGTTACATATAAAAATCACTTTCTTGAGGCAGGTACTATGTCATAGTCACTTTTGTATTCCCAAGATAAACACACATAACAATTGCCCAATAAATGATTGTGGGCTAAACTGAACAGATGCTACAAGATGGTTACACACAATGAAGGGTGGTCTTCATTAGATTTCATCTCTCTTCTCTAAGAAACTGCTTGAATTGTTGAAGTACAGCATGGACAACATTTTTAAGTTGGTTATTTGCTCCTAAGGCATGCTCAAATGGTCACCATTTAAAAAATTTAGAAGAGACATTACTTACTTGCTTGAATAGATGTAGGGAGACTAAATAGCAAATATGTGAAATAACATTCTGCATACCTGTCTGTACTGGCTTGTCATATGGGTATGTGACCAGCACAGAACCACCATCTAAAGCAATGGAAAGACTGAAGACCTGTTTTTGAATCAAATTTTCAATGATGGCTTTAGTCTCAGGCTGGGAGGCATTATCTAACAAAAGAGAAAAGTCAAATATAAATTATCAAGTTCTAAATTTTAGTATGAGTATCTAAGGAAATATTCTGTACACGAGCATAATCAAAATGCTGACTTACAAAATTTGTAGATACTTATTTCTCCGTTAGACACTGTCTCAAGAAGAAAGATACACTCTAGAAGGGAGGTTATTCTGAGCTTCATATACTGAGATAACATGCATACATTAATAATACTAAGCAAATGTTAAGAAAATTCTTACTGAAAAAAAAGATGATCATATTCTGCTTTAAAAATCAACCTAGGGAAAATCAACACCTTCAGAAAGCAAGGTGTTTCCTGCATCATGATTTACAAGAGCAAAAAACCAGAAGCTAACTAAATTGTCCATCACTAGAAAATGGCTGAATAAACTAGCTTACTATCACATGTAAAAATGTTAAAGACTATAAGTAATGAAATGGAAAGATGTCAATGATATATTCAGTGAAAAAGCTACAGAATAATATGTATAGTTGATAACCCTATTGAAGTAAATAAAAAACAGGCCCTTTCAAATCAGCATACATATATATATTATATACATATATGGAAGAGTTGAGAGAAAAGGAATATATATCTCTATACAAGTTAGTAATGGAAGATCCCAATAATATTGACTTTCTACTTTAAAAAACTTGAATTACTTTTGCAAAGAAAAAAGAGAAATTCAAAATGTTTTCTGGATATCTGTATTCATTTGTAATTCACATTCATAACTTAAGCATGGGAGCACCCCATTACTCATTTACAAAACAGAATCACCCAGTCTCCTAGCAAAGTATCTCCACAAGTACTCTAATGGTCTAAAAGTTAGTCTTACTTATAAAATCTGTATCCAAGTCTTTGCCACGGGCATTTGTTTGTCCTGTCTTTGAAGTACAGTCTTTCTCTTGTGCTCGCTCTCGTCCATCTGGATTTAGAGAAGGGACAATCACAATCCTAGTCCTGTCAACCAACTAAAACAGAAACAGAAATCAGTGAATTTATTGGTTTATATGGAATCAAGAGATACTTTTTCCATGCCTCAAACAGAAAGCCTTTGTTTTATTATTTTTTTAAAACAGTAATGGGGTCTTAAGCTTGTCAGGTAAGCATTTTACCACTTAAGCCATGCCACAAACCCTTTTGTACTTTAATTATTTTTTGGATATGGTCTTGAGTGTGATCTTCCTACCTACTCCTACTACATACCTGGGGTAACAGATGTTCACCACCACAAGTCACCACACCCAGCCTATTGTTCATTTTAAATATACTTAATTTAAAAGGCAGAGCTAAAAAAATTTTTTTTCTATATAAGGCTGGGGAAGTTGTTCAAGTGGTAGAGTACTTGCCTAGCAAGCATAAGGCCCTGAGTTCAAACCCCTGGACCACCAAAAGAAAAAAAAGTTGGATGTAGTGGCATATACCTATAATCCCAGTACTCAGAAGGCTGAGGCAGTATGATAAATTCAAGTACAGCATGGACTACATAGTGAGCTCTTGTCTCAAAAACCAAATAAATGAAATATTAATGCCTCTGGGGATAGAATCCAGGCACTGGTATTTTAAAATACCAATATTTCTAATGTGTAGCCAGGGTTGAAAAGCACCATTCTCTCTCAATTTAAAAAAAGAACAAAAAAGTGTCTTAGAAATACTACTTGCAACCTATAAGAAGTTGTCAATGGAATCTGCTTTACTGAAGCTGGTAAAAATTTTTGATCAAGTCTGATTTAAGTTCATTTCATCTAGTACATAGGTCTCTTCTGACCCTAATCATGAAATCAGTTCTTTCCAAATTTCTTCTGGGGGAGGAATTGTGGTATAATAAAATTGCATGAGGCCAATAGGAAAAGGGGACCAGGAACTAGAGAAAAGGTTAGATCAAAAAGAATTAACCTAGAAGGTAACACCCACGCACAGGAAATCAATGTGAGTCAATGCCCTGTATAGCTATCCTTATCTCAACCAGCAAAACCCCTTGTTCCTTCCTATTATTGCTTATACTCTCTCTACAACAAAATTAGAGATAAGGGCAAAATAGTTTCTGCTGGGTATTGAGGGGGGGAGCGGGAGGGGGTGGAGTGGGTGGTAAGGGAGGGGGTGGGGGCAGGGGGGAGAAATAAACCAAGCCTTGTATGCACATATGAATAATAAAAGAAAAATGAAAAAAAAAATAAAAATAAAACAGAGATACCTAAGAATGAAAAAAAAAAAAAATAAAATTGCATGGGGTTTTAGAGCAAGATATACTTGGGTTTGTTTGTTTATTTTTAATAAACTTTTATTGAAAAAAGAACAGAGGGTTCTTTTTTGTTTTTTTGTTTTGTTTTGGTGGCACAGGGGTTTGAACTCAGGGTCTCATGCTTGCTAGGCAGGTGCTCTACCACTTCAGCCATTCCATCAGCCCTTAGAAAAAGAATGAAAAATAGTCTTTACACTTTAAATTCTAGTTTTACGAGTTACTGGCTGTGAGGGGTCCTATAAAATGGAATCTCTTTTTTATTTTTGGTAGTACTGGGGTTTGAACTCAGGGCCTCATGCTTGCTAGACAGGTGCTTTACTATTTGAGCCAGGTCCCCAGCCCAGAGATGGTCTATAAAGTAAAAAAATCTTTACCTCAGTTTCCACACATATAAAATGAATATAATCATTCTTACATTGTTGAGAACTTAATTAATCATGTATATAAAGTACCAGATATAGTATCTGGCACAAAGTATATATTCAATGAATATTAGTTCTTTCTCCCTTTCCTAAATTCAATCTAGACAGTGCCTATTAGTGAGTATTCTAGAAGGATGCACTCTCCCTCCTTTCTCTGAGACAACACAGAACTAGGTTTCTAAATCACACATGACTAAGCTCCTGGATCAAAATTTTCTGTAGTTATAGACAGCTGAAGTAGACAATGTCAATATTACTTTTTGTAGGCTCCCTTAGCAGCCAAGATGTCCAACAATTTTTTACGTATTACATGAATAGAAAAACTATGTCTTTCACTATATTTTTCAATATTCTGGCCCCTTTCTAAATAATTGAGAATGGAAGTCCCTCAAGTTGTAATGTACAGAACTGTGAGTAAATATTAGAAGGATACTCAGATTAAATAAAGGAGAACTCAATGCAAACCTTTAGTATTTTTTCCACTATGCCTTTTAATATATACAAAGAAATATAATAGAAAGACACTATGAATAACGAGTATATACGAAGATGGTTCATTTTTAAAGAGTAGCATTTATAATGTACTAAAAGTGCTTTTGTGCAAACTCTAAACAAGAAATTTTAAAATGTAAAATGGTGCCCTGATATCTATGTGATCACTGAGCTTTTTCCTATTAAAGCATGTCAAAACAGGCTATTCTCTTACTTGGGTAACAGCTGGGTTCTTTTTGTAGTTCAGGCAGAGAAATTCTGCCAGAGCCAAAAGCAGTTCAGTTCCAACTGGTGCATTTCCATGGATACCAGCAACAAAACGAATTTTTGGTTCTTCAGGCTCAGATATGTTGGGCTTATTGGAGATTTCAAGGGACCAAATTTGACGATATTCAGCACTCTGTCCCAAACTTTCAAAAGCCAGGAACAAAAAGTAAGCAAGCTATCCAGTTAAACTTGAATTATAGACTTTAAAAAATAAAACACAAAAAAGTCTTAAAAGGTCTTTTAAAGAGTGAATCACTGTGGCATAAAACCTTATGAAAATTACATTTCATAAACAAAGAAAGTAAAATATCAAATTTAGGAAAGATTTAGAGTCCACCTCTCCTTTAAATGTAGTCCTTCCTCCTCATACCATTTTCAGAATATTTTCCCTATTTTCTATCATTTATGTATTTTTTATTATGGAATATTTAAATAAACATTAATGTAGAGAACCTCCCACTTTAAATCTAAATTAATCTTTGTAAACAAGACATTTTATACTTTACTGTAAATGCAATGACATTTTCACAGTAAAAATAATTCAATAAAAACAAAACAATGGACAAATATCTCCTTGCCCAGGAACTCTCAGCTTAAGGCCTGCTTCCTTAATATAAGGTTAGAATCACAAAAGTTACACAGGAAAAATATATTAGCATTAAATTGAGGAAGGTGACTAAAATAAAAAATATTACTTCTTGTTGATGGCATTCAACAATACTTAGTGCCTAGTGATGTACTACCTAAAACTCCCATCCTCCCCTCCCCACTGGCAAGTATGCCGTATTTTGAGGATTTTTTTTTTTTTTTGGTGGTACAAAGGTTTGAACTCAGGGCCTCACACTTGCTAGGCAGGTGCTCTACCACTTGAGACATTCCGTCAGCCCAATTTGGGAGGGTATTTTTAATTAAAAAGCACATCTTGAATTCAAAAGTTAAAAAAATTAAATAAGAAAATAGACTGCAAAATAATGTTCAATTTTGAGTTTATTTTAAAAAGACACTCTAAACAGCACTAAGATGGATGACTTTAAAATCTGAACTAGGTTGGGCACCGGTGGCTCCTGCCTATAATCCTAGCTACTCAGGAGGCAGACATCAGGAGGATCGTGATTTGAAGCCAGCCTGAGCAAATAGTTCTCAAGACCTTATCTCAAAGAAGCTCTTCATAAAAAAAGGCTAGTGGAGTGGCTCAAGGTGAAGGCCCTGAGTTCAAATCCCAGTACTGAGAAAAAAAAAATCTGAACTAGCCAGGAATATTCAAGAATCATTTGAGCAAGGGAGGTAATTGACAATGCCAAAGTAAATATCACTGTGCATCTATAAACATTATAAATCAAAATTTAAGAGGCTAAAATTTCTGGTAAAATTAAGTAGACCAATGAATAGATACAAAGTAAAAATGTAGGCTAGATAATATTCATTAGCTATGCAGAATTATGAGCTCAAGACAAAACATAAAGATCTTCTTTACAGTGGGCAAAAGGAATCAAATAACCATGGAAATAATTTTGGGTAACTGCAACAAGATGTGAACAGGACCTACAATGAAAAAGAGAACGTAAAGTGGAGAAGCCCAAGATAGTAAAGGAAGAGGGCATCTCAGCCATTGGTTTTCTACATGCTAGTACTGCATATTTTCCCAGAAAGCCTCAATTAAACATGTCCCTAAAGCTTAAGAGACTGAATAGATATTAGAGTACAGAAAATGACAGGAACCAGGCTTCATTTTCTAACTAAAAAAAAGAAAAAAGGTTATATATGATCCCTGACAGGTGAGCTCATAGTTCCATATTCCTTTCTTGTCCCCAGCAAAATAAGGCAAACTAAGCAATATTTACTCAGAACATGTATCTGCAGTTGAAAAGTGAAAAGGGTTTTGAAATGAGGTACAATAAGCATTTGGAAGAGTAATTTTACATTTCCTAAAGACTTATGCATTGTTAATCTAGCAAATAATTCTCCAATATTCCTCACAAAGGTCCCCAAGATTCATTGTTGGTACTCCAAGTAAATATCTGTTGCAATGTAAGTAAACTCCAACTTTGTATACATTCAGCTTCCAAATATCTCTAAATAAATTATAAGACCCATTTAATGTGGCTAATGCTGAATAACCCCTCTTAAAGAAGAAAAAACAGAAAAAAAAGAAAAGATGGAAGGAAGGAAGAGAAGGGAGGGAGGGAAGGAGAGGAGGGAGAAAGAAGGTAACACTTACGTGGTAAGATTGGTAATATGTGGATAATTCATTACAAGTCCTCTCAAAAATTCTGATAAGTCTTTGTATGAATGGTATCGATAAAGAGCCAAATTTGAGGAAGAGCTTAACATGAGGCCTTCCAAACCATTTTCAGCTGAAAGGTCTTTGATTAAAGCTTCAAACTCTTTAGTAGTTGGGTCACTGGTATCTTCAGCACTGGTGCTATCCCCCTTTCCTTTCTTTGATTCATTGTTTGAATCTGTTGAGGATCGAACAAGTGTGAAGTTGACCTGACTAGCACCTTCACTCTTGATGGTCACATTCTTGGTAACTGGGTTATACCTGTAAGAAGGTAGACAGATCAGAGCCACACTTCTTCAGCTGCAGTACCAAGCACTGGGAAATAAGAGATGTGCAGTGCATGCATGCATCCAAGGAAGATTCCTAGAGTCAAGTGTTTAACTTTAACATAATTCATGATTTTTTAAAACATTAACTAATGAAGAACAAACACAGGCATATGACATCAAATGACAGTTTGTACTTGCTGCAGATCCCCCACGTCTCCTGGAATCTGAGTCCACTCGTCTGCTATTAGGGTGTGTGGGTTGGAAAAGTTTGCAAGGTGCTAACTACAACATTCTCTACCATAGACATCCTTGTTTCTCAGATATCCTGCTACTTTAGTTTCTCTCATACTTTGCCAAAATGCATGAAATACAGAAATGACCTTGTTACTCATTAGAGTGAGGTTCTAAACATTCTGTTTATGGCTTTTTTCCTTAAAAAAAAGATGACTATAAGCGTTTTCATGTACTCAGTGTCACGTCAATGGACGTTCAAGCTAACCCTTCAGAAATAAGTTGGCTAGGAAGGGGAGGGAAGTATCACGTGGTAGCAATGGCCCTTATTAAAATATGAAAAAAGAAAAGTACAAGACGGTAAAACTGAGAAGTTTCAGAATAAATAGGTGGTTCCAATTCTAAGCCACTTGTAAAAGATGATAAAGTGTTTTTTGTTTTTTTAGGGAAAAAAAGCCATAAGTTCATTTTCTTTTTTTAAAATGAATAAATCTAAGCCATGTGCAGTAGCACATGCCTGTAGTCCAAGTTATCCAGGAGATTGGGAGATTGCTGGAGTCCCAAAATCAGAGGCCAGCCTGTGAACACAGTAAGACCCTGTCTCAAAAAAAAAAAAAAAAAAAAAAGTTAAACAAAATCTTTGTGTAAAGAAAACCCATTAAAAAAAAAAATCAAAATGGCCTTACTTTCAGAACCTACAATCAGAAGAAAATGTCACTGAAGCAAAAAAGGCAAATATACAACAGTAAAAATATGAGTGTGAGCTCTGAAAGTCTTTGAAAGGGAACAAGTGCAAAGTAGTGGCTTTGAATGGACAGTGTGACTAGATTATGTGTCAGTACAGGAGTACTTTTTTTTTTAAACTAATACGTACTTTCCAGAATTATTACTGATAGTGAAGGAAATGGCTCACTATGGCTTTTGCATCTAGACATAGGACAGGTGATGAGAATGGAGGAAAGCAGTTTCACAGATTTCTCACACCTGATGCTGGGTACTCACTTTGCCACTGGATGAGAGTAAAATAAAACCAGTTCTAAACCTGTCCACATGAAACTCCAGCTTACTTAGTAGGCGTTCCAGGGCTTTCAGGAAACAATCTTCCAGAATGGAACCATGTTTGTCTTACCCCCGAGCCCTCAGTTTTAAACCATTCATCACTCACCCTCGAGCAGATGCTGTGATTTTATAAGTTCCTGGAACCAAAAGCCGCCAGTAATCTCCAGTTTTGTAAGTAGTCACTGGGTGATTAATTTCAGCAACACTAATGGTGGCATTTAATATACCCCTGCCATCTGTGGCATCAAGGACAAATCCTTTGACACCCTGATGAACCTGGATCAAGAACAAGAACACCAGATTTTAATGGTAAAGATCATCATCTCATTACTTTGGGAGCTCATATCCAAGCTAACAGATTGTTAATAATGTAAACAAGGGGAACAAACAGGAATTTAGGAGTTTGGAGTAAAGCTAAATGTAATGCTCATTAAACAAGATATTTTAGTTTCTAAAGGCTAATTTTGCATAAGCTAGATTTGTCTTTATTATGAAGAATAAAAATAACACCGTTTAAACTTTATGACATTCTGACTAGAATATAAGATGTTCTATAAGAAAACAGGCCTAGCCTCTTCCTGAAGAAAATGTCATTAAAAAAAAAAATGAGGGGCGGGGGAAGGGAGGAGAAATGACCCAAACATTGTATGCACATATGAATATAATTAAAAAAAGGAAAAAAAATGAAAGGATAAACTGGGTGCTGATGGCTCATGCCTGTAATCCTAGCTACTCAGGAGGCAGAGATCAGGAGGATGGTAGTTTGAAGCCAGCTCAGGTAAAGAGTTCAAGAGTCCCTATCTTGAAAAAACCCATCACAAAAAGGGCTGGCAGAATGGCTCAAGGTGTTGGCCCTGAGTTTAAGCCCCAGGAACACACACACACACACACAAAAAAAATGGAAAAGAAAGGATTATTCTGATTAAAGAAGGTAAGGAGATATAATAATCAAGTGCAATGCATAAATCTTTACTGATCCTGGTTCTAGAATACATCTATAAAATTACATTTGGGGCACAATGTGGAAATCTGAATGTAGACTGGGTGTTAGGTAATATTGGAGAATTGCTATTTATTTCTTTTAGGTGAGATAATGGCATTTGGAGATGACATGTAGGAGAATATCCTTATTTTTAGGAAAGAGATACTAAAATATTTGAGGGCAAACTATCCCAACAATTCCAGAATCTACTGAAATAGTTCAGCCAAATATGTTCATCCTGTGTGTGTATTTTTCATATAATAAAGCAAATGCAGCAAAAATGTTAAAAATTATTAAATCTAGGTGTATTCTAGGAATAGGAGTAAATATAGTGAAGTCTTTTGTATACATGTAAAATTTTTCAGAATAAAATGCTTTTAAATGTTAGTAAACAAACTTGAAGACCTTAATGTTACATCATTCAGGAAAATGATAAAAGCAGAAATGTACTAGCACAACACATGAAGCAGATTCCTAATTAACCGTTCACATATGTCTTATACTCTTTACCTATAGCCACCATGCAAAGCTGAACAAAAGGAAATTAATCATTTCATAGTAAAGCAATGGCAATAAGAAAAATGATAAAAATATTTACCCCACAGTTTATCTTTCTTTCACTTGACAAATGCTTAGGTGTGTATATAACTTATAACTTTTTTTTTTAAAGAACACTAAGCATTAACTACCTTGTTTAATCATTTTTCTTGAATGTTTTCCCATATACACAAATAAACTCATTTGTATTCATGAATTTTCTAGATAAATATACTAAACCAAATCGAAGTTAGAAAGGGTATATTCTAACATCAACTATATGAAAAGTGTTAGGTCCACACAAAAATCTTCTTGCTCTTAGAAGAAATCATCCTTTACTCCTAAGTACCTGTTTCATAAACTGGATTAGAGATCTTCGGTTCTGTTCCCAAAACTTTGGCAGCTCTTTCTCAAATGGATATTTCACACAACCTAGTTCAATTGTTACTTCAAAACAATTTGTTTGTAAATAGTTCCAGTCCTGCATACCACCTAAGGACAAAAAAACAGAAGTCACTCTGAAGAAGATCTAAATAGTTCTGATCCTAAAAGGTAGGAAGCATTCCTTGTAAAAAGTCAAATTTACCTTATATATGCATTGGTTGAAAAACAATAATGTGTTCAAAGGAGGGTTTTTTGTTGCTTCTGGGCTTGGTAAAACATCTGTACTTTCATGTTCAAGAAGAGTGCAAATGTAGCTTACACTCTTTCATTCAATTAGCACATGTAAGGTTCATTGCAATAGCCAGAAGTAAAATTTATTAGCTTCACCAAGTTGTAGCAAATTATTTTTATTCAACACTCTATTCAGCACCAAAAGCAAAATAGCTGAAAAGGTTATTTGAAATTTAAAACTGTTTAAAAAATATTCTTAAAAGAATGGTTCTTTCTCAAAATTAAAAAAGATCAGTAACAAGCAGCACCATCCAGAAGAACAGAAAATTCACCAAGTTGTAAGACCTTGATAGTCTTTACCTGGGACATTATACCAATTAGCTCCATTTGTTATTCCATGAGGAAAATATTCATTAGGGTACATATTCTTGCAAGGTCTACCTTGAAACATCTGGGAATTTTCCTGAAAAAAAGCCAAAGGATATTTACTTGTATTTGTTTATATCTACAGCAACAACAACAAAAACCAGGATACAGGAAAATAAATAAAATGGTTATCAACAAGGTATGTGAAGTGGAGATTGGGGGTATAGGGACATAGGAAGCAGGGACACTTTTCAATGTATAGTTTTCTATCTATTTCATTTGAATTCTGACTATGTAAATTTATTTTTTAGAATAAAAATTAAATGTGTTTTGTAAGGACATACAGAAGACTTCCTTTATTACTTGTAATTATAAATATTAATATTAAAAAATCCACCCCAATTCCTATCTTTAAAAATTCTGCTCATGTTCATACATTCATTTCATACTTTCAAGAAGATAACACACACAACATGGAATAAACAGCTTTCCTTGTCTTCTAGGGGAACTAAGATGGGCTCCCTGTCCTTTGACTACAATGTACAAGTATCCTATTGCAAATGGCCATTTTTTCTTCCCTTAAAACAGAACTCATTGAATCAGTTTATCTTTTTGTCCTTGGGTACAGTACATGTGCAATTGCTTACTCAATGAAGAGCAAGAAAAACTGCCATGGAAGTACAAATAAATGCTACCGGAATCCAGAGGAAAGAATCATTATTTCTGCCTACAGTGGAAGGGGAAATTTCCTGGAAGAAATTAAACTTTGAAAAACAATTAAAACTTCACTTTTCTCTTTTGGAAATAGAAAATCTGGAACTAGGAAAAAAAAGTACAGAAAAGTATGAAGAGAAAAATACTAACTTCCCATTTTCCCATCACTTTAAGAATACCACTTAAATTTAAAATACATATTTTAAAGTTAAATAATCTCCTATCTGAAATTTAATATGCCCATTAAAGGATTATGATCCCAAAACACTTTTAATAAAAACCATTATTTAGATCACTGCAATAATTGCACACATGCTCTTTTGCTTTCTGGCTTTCTACCACAATCTTCTATGCTTCTGTATTTATCTATCTATTTATCTACCTAATTACATATCCACCCAATTGTAAAGTATATAGAAATGGGACTTCATAAAACTAAAAAGCTTCTGCTCAACAAAAGAAATGATTTCTAAACTGAAGAGACCACCCACAGAGTAGGAGAAAATATTTGCCAGCTACACATCAGACAAAGGACTGATAACCAGAATATATAGGGAACTTAAAAAACTAAATTCTCCCAGAATTAATGAACCAATAAAGAAATGGGCAAGTGAACTAAACAGAACTTTCTCAAAAGAAGAAATTCAAATGGCAAAAAAAACCACATGAAAAAATGCTCACCATCTCTAGCAATAAAGGAAATGCAAATTAAAACCACACTTAAGATTCCACCTCACCCTGTTAAAATAGCTATCATTAGCAACACCACTAACAACAGGTGTTGGCGAGGATGTGGGGAAAAAGGAACCCTCTTACACTGTTGGTGGGAATGTAAACTAGTACAACCACTCTGGAAAAAAATTTGGAGGCTACTTAAAAAGCTAAACATTGATCCAGCAATACCACTCTTGGGGATATACCCAAAAGACTGTGACACAGGTTACTCCAGAGGCACCTGCACACCCATGTTTATTGCAGTACTATTCACAATAGCCAAGTTATGGAAACAGCCAAGATGCCCCACTACTGACAAATGGATTAAGAAAATGTGGTATTTGTACACAATGGAATTTTATGCAGCCGTGAAGAAGAATGAAATGTTATCATTCGCAAGTAAATGGATGGAACTGGAGAACATCATTCTGAGTGAGGTTAGCCTGGCCCAAAAGACCAAAAATCATATGTTCTCCCTCATATGCAGACAGTAGATCAAGGGCAAACACAACAAGGGGATTGGACTTTGATCACATGATAAAGCGAGAGCACACAAAGAAGGTATGAGGATAGGTAAGACACCTAAAAAACTAGATAGCATTTGTTGCCCTCAATGCACAAAAACTAATGCAGCTACTTTAAAGCAACTGAGGCCAATAGGAGAAGGGGACCAGGAACTAGAGAAAAGGTTAGATCAAGAAGAATTAACTTAGAAGGTAACACACATGCACAGGAAAGCAATGTGAGTCAATGCCCTGTATAGCTATCCTTATCTCAACCAGCAAAAACCCTTGTTCCTTCCTATTATTGCTTATACTCTCTCTTCAATAAAATTAGAGATAAGGCAAAATAGTTTGTGCCTGATAGCAAGGGGGTAGGGGGAAGAGAGAGGGGGTAGGTGGGTAAGGAAGGTGGCAGGGGGAAGGGGGGAGAAATGACTCAAACATTGTATGCACATATGAATAAAAAAATAAAGAAAGAAAGAAAGAAGAATTAACTTAGAAGGTAACACATATGTACAGGAAATCAATGCAAGTCAATTCCCTGTATAGCTATCCTTATCTCAACTAGCAAAAACCCTTGGTCCTTCCTATTATTGCTTATACTATCTCTTCAATAAAATTAGAGATAAGGGCAAAATAGTTTCTGCCGGGTAGCAAGGGGTAAGGGGGGGTAAAGGATGGGAGGGGAAGGGGGGAGAAATGACCCAAACATTGTATGCACATATGAATAAAATAAAAACTAGGAAAAAAAAGTATACAGAGGTGCTACTATATTATTGGATTAATATAATACATACCATAAACATGCATAAAAATTTTAAATTAAAATCTAAATATAATTCTTTCATAGATCATCTAGGTTAAATCCAATTCTGGATGCCACAGTTCTAGGCAATAACTATTAACATTTTGGCTTCATTCTCAGAGCAATCAGGAGCCAGTAAGGAATTCATGTATTAATGGTTCCAGGAGGTCTATTTTGATAATTGACATTTTAATAAGGATGCCAAGAGAACTGAATGGGCAAAGAATAATATTCTCAAAAAGTGGTGGGGAGACAATATATTAACCACATGAGAAAGAATGAATGTAGACCCTTTCCTCACACCATACCCAAAAATTAGCTCAAGTTGAATCATAGACCTAAATGTCTGAGTGAAAACCTTAAACCATTCAGAGAAAAACACAGGAATAAAACTTTGTGACCTTTGTTTCTTGGATATTATAAGAAACAAATGACAAAAAAGAAATTGATACATTGGACATCATCACCATTCCTTTAACTCTTCCCCCCATTTGTTTTCACATTTTGACTCTCTGATTAAAGGTTTTTTTTGTTGTTGTTTTTTGCGGTACTGGGTCTTGAACTCAGGGTCTTCACCCTGGGCTATTCCTCCAGCCCTTTTTGTGATGGGCATTTTTGAGATAGGGTCTTGTGAACTATTTGCCTGGGCTGACTTTGAACCTTGATTCTCCTTATTTCTGCCTCCTGAGTAGCTAGGATTACAGGCATGAGCCACAGCACCCAGCTAGTCAAGGAGTTTTATACTCTCATGCATGTTTGGGTATATTAATTTGTCTGGAGTGCCTACTTAGTTTTCTTCCACTTCTTTTTTTTTGATAGTAAGAGGTTTTTCTTGTTTATATGTGTGAACTTTCAGTTCCCAATTTTCTGCAATGGTTCTCCATGGATTTCTTTTCCTCTTGTTTGTTTTTGTGATATTGGGCTACTTTACATGGTTCCTAGTTCAACGGTCCCCTTTTCCTGTCAGTCTAGCAAAGCCCAAATAATGCAGTGTGGTTGGTTTAATCGTTTACTTGTTTTAGTGGTAAGGGTGAAGTTTTATATAGTCCTTTTCTATTTTGTAAAACCCTGTATTTCCCTCTTTTTTTTTTCTTTTCCTCTTTCAACTAATTGTCAAAGGACACCTTTTCATTTTTTTCCCCTCCTTCAGAAGCTATGCATTTGGAAGATTTCGCTTTGAAACTACCTGTCCTTTTAAATTATGTTTCTCGCTTTGAACCAAACCACCATCCTTTAAGCTATGTACATTTTGAAATCTCTTCCCAGTATTCCAATGCTCTCTTCTGCCTAGTTACTAACATATATTTTCGGCTCAAGGGTGTCTGTAATATGTGGTCATTCCAAATCACCTTTAGCCACCCCTACTTCAATAGTCTCTCTCTTTTGTCTTCTCCATAGGTTTTCTCAGTCAGCTTTTCTTTTTTTTGGTGGGACTGGGGTTTGAACTTCAGGCCTCACACTTGTTAGGCAGGCACTCTACCATATGAGCCGTTCCACCAGCACTGCTTTAGTGTTCGGTATTTTCAAGATAGGGTCTCACAAGCTATTTGCCCAGGGCTGGCTTCTAACTGTGATCCTTCTGATCTCTGCCTCCTTGAGTAGCTAGGATTATAAGCATAAACTCAGCATCTGGCTCAGTCAGCTTTTCTTTACAACAAAGCCTCATGGTGGGGCAAAGGAGGGGTGGGTGCATGACAAACCATCCTGGGATTTCTTACTTTTTTTTGTTTAAATTCACAGCTATTTTGAAATTTCAGATATTTTATGATACCAACTGTAGAATTTTGATAGTTGTAAAGTTGTTTTGTATCATTTGAGAAGAAATTCTGGGAGGCTGATTACTACATAACCATCACTATCTCTGGCTACTCAAAAGTCTCCCAAGACTATTCAATTTTGAGAAATTTAGAAGCATAAAGATGAAAATTTTTGGAAGGGTTAAGGTTAATGGAAGCCCTATTTTTAGGTAGCTGCTTCCTGGCCAAGAAAAAAGAGGCAGTGAACATACACGAGTGTAAAAAATTGCCACAACTGTGTGACTATTCTGGGCTATACTTGTAACATTAGGTTGGAGAAGAGAGTTGGTGGTAACTACTAAGGACTGGATACTGGGAAGGCAGATATGTTAAAATAGTATACAAGATCCTTGAGAGTATCACTGAAAAGATACAGTCATAGGCCCAGGCCGGGTAGAAAGACAGATCAAAAAGGTTAATGGGGTGCTGGTGGAGTGGTTCGAGTGGTAGAGTGCTTGTCTAGCAAGCATAAGTCCCTGGGTTCAAACCCCAGTACCGCTAAAAAAAAAAAAAAATTAATGGTCTAAGAAAATGAAGAAAAGCTAAGGCACTATAAGTCACAATGAGGACAAAAGGCAGGGTCATGAGAATGAACAGAGAATGTGATGGGAATATATGCACAGTCTGGTCAATTAATTTTGATTTTGATGGATAGGACAGTATACATTCTTCTTGTTATTACTCCATTTATGTCCCTCCAAAAAAATGTTATGCCCAATAGACGGTAACAACTCTAGGTGAAATAAATAGTCATATTCCTTTATTAGAAGCTCTGAATCATCTCACAAGATCCATTTGCAAAGAATGAAGGAGGAGGAGAGGTAGCTGATTAAAAGCTGCGATTAAAAAGCACAGAGTTGTAGTGATAACCTTCATTATCTATATCCAATAAAGACACAGAAAATAATCAGTTGACCAAAGCTTAAAACATACCCAGTGGATATGTTTTTGGATACGTTTTTTAAACAACAATTTTTAAGTGAAATTTTCACACAAATTTTAAATTTCTGATTGGAAAACTAATCCACATACTTTATAGAAAGTTTAGAAAACACAGCAACTTCTGCCTGCTTTCTTTAGCTATTACTGCAGTATCTCAAATACCTTAAGCCAGTCATTGACAATTTTTTTCCTAGAAAGGGCCAGATGGTAAAAATTTTAGGCTTTACAGATCCAAAAGTCTCTGTTGCAACTACTTACATCTATTGAGATGACTGCAAGGGTTTTCTACTTTAGTTTATTACTATGGTGAATTACACTGACTTATTTTCAAATGGTGAAGGAAAAAGCAGCCATAAACAATTTGTAAAAGTATGACTGTAGCTGTATGTCAATAAAGCTTAATTTACAAAATAAGTGGTAAGATAGATTTGGCCATGGAGCTAGTTTGTCAACTCTCCTGCTTTAGCCTACTTTACTTGGCTTATAACTTAAGTATTTGTCAAATGAAATGTTAGCATGATATGTTCCATGTGCTGTACTAAAAACATAGATGAAAGACATTACCTGAGTTTAAAGGCTAATGAAAAAGACAAGTGATATGTTCAGAAGTGAAGTAGGAAACAGGAGAAAAAGCCCAATGACTGGATGACTGAATTCTTTTTTTTTCTTTTATTCATATATGCATACAATGTTTGAGTCATTTCTCCCCCCTTCCCCCTGCCACCTCCCTTACCCACCTACCCCCTCTCTCTTCCCCCTACCCCCTTGCTATCAGGCACAAACTATTTTGCCTTATCTCTAATTTTATTGAAGAGAGAGTATAAGCAATAATAGGAAGGAACAAGGGTTTTTGCTGGTTGAGATAAGGATAGCTATACAGGGCATTGACTCACATTGCTTTCCTGTGCATGTGTGTTACCTTCTAAGTTAATTCTTCTTGATCTAACCTTTTCTCTAGTTCCTGGTCCCCTTCTCCTATTGGCCTCAGTTGCTTTAAAGTAGCTGCATTAGTTTTTGTGCATTGAGGGCAACAAATGCTATCTAGTTTTTTAGGTGTCTTACCTATCCTCATACCTTCTTTGTGTGCTCTCGCTTTATCATGTGATCAAAGTCCAATCCCCTTGTTGTGTTTGCCCTTGATCTACTGTCTGCATATGAGGGAGAACATATGATTTTTGGTCTTTTGGGCCAGGCTAACCTCACTCAGAATGATGTTCTCCAGTTCCATCCATTTACTTGCGAATGATAACATTTCATTCTTCTTCACGGCTGCATAAAATTCCATTGTGTACAAATACCACATTTTCTTAATCCATTTGTCAGTAGTGGGGCATCTTGGCTGTTTCCATAACTTGGCTATTGTGAATAGTACTGCAATAAACATGGGTGTGCAGGTGCCTCTGGAGTAACCTGTGTCACAGTCTTTTGGGTATATCCCCAAGAGTGGTATTGCTGGATCATGTGGTAGATCTATGTTTAGATTTTTAAGTAGCCTCCAGATTTTTTTCCAGAGTGGTTGTACTAGTTTGCATTCCCACCAGCAGTGTAAAAGGGTTCCTTTTTCCCCACATCCTCGCCAACACCACTGTTGTTAGTGGTGTTGCTAATGATAGCTATTCTAACAGCGGTGAGGTGGAATCTTAGTGTGGTTTTAATTTGCATTTCCTTTATTGCTAGAGATGGTGAGCATTTTTTCATGTGGTTTTTTTTGCCATTTGAATTTCTTCTTTTGAGAAAGTTCTGTTTAGTTCACTTGCCCATTTCTTTATTGGTTCATTAATTTTGGGAGAATTTAGTTTTTTGAGTTTCGTATATATTCTGGTTATCAGTCCTTTGTCTGATGTGTAGCTGGCAAATATTTTCTCCCACTCTGTGAGTGGTCTCTTCAGTTTAGAGATCATTTTTTTTTGTTGAGCAGAAGCTTTTTAGTTTTATGAAGTGGATGACTGAATTATTGAGGACTCAGCCAAGAAAGCACCTGACCTGAGTCTTATGGCACTTTAAGGTTGTTGTTTTTTTTTTTAATACTGGGATTTGAACTCAGGGCCTTACCCTTCCAAGGCAGGTGCTTGAACCACTCTGCCATTCCTTTATGTGTTGGTTATTTTGGAGATAGGGTCTTGCTTTATGCCCAGATTGTGTTTCTTTTCATAGTTGAGATGACATGGCCTACAGCCATTGCTTGAGATGGGAGTCCCAAGAACTTTTTGCCTAGCTGGCCTCATTATGGAGATTTTCCTAATCTCCACCTCCCAAATAGCTAGGATTATAGGGCTTGAGCCACCTCACCCAGTCTCCAAGGCATTTTTTTAATCAATTAATTTGATAGCATCTGATGTTCAAACACAAACATACCTTAGAATAAGAAAGTGCTATTTGTTGAAACACAGCATCATCTGGTGATTTACTATATGTGGCAATTCCTTGTTCATCATCATCAAAAGGGTAATTAACAACCAAAGAACCTACAAAGGAAATGAGAAAAATGTTATCTGTCTCAGGATAGATCACTAACATAAAGTGAGCTGTTCATAATACTGTTAGAAAGGGAAATCAATAAAATTCACCAAAGCATTTCCTCAACAGAAATGAAAAATAAGAGCCTGGATTGTGGCTCAGTAGTATGGTACTTCTCTAGCATGTGCAAAGGCCCTGGGATCAATCCCTAGCACCATCAAAAAGGGAATAAAAAATATACTAATTTCTTCAAGAAAATCAACATTAGAAGGAAAATAAACAGCTGTGCTGCATACTTAAAGATTGCTTTAGCTAGAAAGGTCATGAGAATTTACTGGTATAATTTACCTATCAGAGCTGAAAACAGAAGTAAACAGGAATAACTTAAATCATTTTACTTTTATAATATTTAAGATCAGAAAAACTGGGTGGATTTTGATGCCTTTTTAAATAAAATTCAGACATTTTACAGGGCATGGATTTTAAAATAAGAAAAGTTCTAACTAACCTATCCTCCTCACTTGGAGATGGGAGATCTAAAGCACAGACAGTAAATAACTTACAGGTAGATCTGGCCTGATTCATACTCAAAAAACAGCTAAATATTTTTCTTACAGTCTTAAAAAATGGTTCAGCTGGAGTTATATCATATGATATTTTATGAGCTAAGGTAAAGAAGGTGATGTTTTAAAATGTGTAAGGCTATCAAGTCCTTTCAGGCTTCCCACAGGCCATAAGTAGTCAGGGTGCTTCTCAGACAAGCTCTGAGTATGTACATGGTCACACTGTTTTCATCAGCCCATTACCATGCCTCCTATTGATGCACTTGTCTTTCCCTCTTCCCCATTTTCTTTTTTTACCATATCACTTCATAGGAAGGTAGGAGGTAAAGGGAATGGAATATTGAACTTCAATTTAGATAAAATAATCCTATAATAACAAACACCAGTAAACATTCATAAAAATTTATGTGTGTGGTACTGGGATTTATTGCTTCTGTGAATATATTGCTTCTGTGAATGTAAAATGGTTCAGCTATTGTGCAAAATAGTTTGGTAGTTCCTCAAAAAGCTACCCATGGGCCAGGCATGGTGGGTCACACCTGTAATCCTAGCTACTCAGGAAGCAGAGCTCAGGTGGATCAAGGTTTGAAGCCAACCCATGCAACAAAGTTAGCAAGGCCCCATTTCAACAAATAAGCTGGGCCTTGTGTTATGTGTCTGTAATCCAAACTACGCTGGAGGCCTTAGGTAGGAGGATTACAGTCTTAGTCTGAGCCTGGGCAAAAACATTAGGCCCTATCTGAAAAATAAATAAAAGCTAAAAAGGGAAGTGGTGTGGCTCAAGTGGTAGAGGATCTCCGTAGCAAGCTGGAGACCCTGAGATCAAACTCCAGTATGGAGAGAGAGAGAGAGAGAGAGAGAGAAAATAAAGAGAAGAAGAAGAAGAAAGAAGAAGAAGAGGAAGAAGAAGAAAGAAGAAGAAGAAGAAAAGAAGAAGAAGAAAAGAGAAGAAGAAGAAGAAGAAAGAAGAAAAAGAAGAAAGGAGAAGAAGAAGAAGAAGAAAAAAGAAGAAGAAAGAGAAGAAGAAAGAAGAAGAAAGAAGAAAGAAGAAAGAAGAAGAAGTAGAAGAAGAAGAAGAAAGAAGAGAAGAAGAAGAAGAAGAAAGAAGAAGAAGAAAAGAAGAAGAAGAAGAAAGAAGAAAGAAGAAAGAAGAAGAAGAAGAAGAAAAGAAAGAAGAAGAGGAAGAGGAAGAGGAAGAAAGAAAGAAGAAGAAGGAAGAAAAGGAGAAGGAGGAAGAGGAGGAGGAGGAGGAGGAGGAGGAGGAGGAGGAGGAGGAGGAGGAGAAGAAGAGAAGAAGAAGAAGAAGAAGAAGAAACAGACAGAGAAAGACACCCACACAGTGAAAGACAGAGAGTGAGAGAAAGAAGTATGTGTGTGTGAGAGGCCAGCTTGGGCTACGTAGTGAGATGCTATCTCAAACAAACAAAAAAAGAAGCAATAACAAAGAGCTACATGCTGAATTGTCATATGACTCAATAATTCCATTCCTAGGTATATACTTAGGATAGAAAACAGAAGCTTAAATAAATTTTTATATACCAATGTTCATTCATAGCAGCATTATTCATAATAATCAAAAACCAATCCAAATGTCCACCAGTGAATAAACAAAATGAGACATATATATGCCTATACAATGAAATATTATTCATCCATCAAAAGGAATGAAGTACTGACACATGCTGCAACATGAATGAACCCTAAAACCATAATGCTAAATGAAAGAAGCCTGACACAAAAGAATAAATCTTTTATGGTTCCATTTTTTCAAAATGTCTGGAACAGATAAATCAGAGACAGAACAGATTGGGGGTTACATGAGTCTGCAGGAAGGGGGAATGGAAAGTAACTGCTTAGTAGGTAAGGGGTTTCTTTTTAGGGAGATGAAACTAGTTTGAAATAGAACAGAGGTGGTGAATTCTCAGCTGTGAATGCACTAAATACCACTGTAACTGTTCACTTTAAAATAGTTCACCTGAATTTACAAAATCTACAAAAAAGAATCTTGCTTTTCCCTTTATTTTCCCCAAATCCTTCTAAATTGTTAGGTTGGCAGAACATACTGCCCCAAAATGTGTCACTTTGGTACATTATTTGAGCCAAAGACAAGTGAGAAACAACTGCTGGAAGGGTTCTCCACCCTCCCCTTCTGTCTAGAACAGGGTATAAATCTCCCTGTGAGAAACATGCCCTTCAGGCACCAGGAGGAAGAAAATATTCTTATTATCAGAGACAAGGAATCAAGGCAAAGATGAAGCCATACAAACAAACCTTACTGTAATAACCCGTCTACCATTAGTTTCCCCCATCTACTACCTACAGTAAGCTTCCTACAGTCTACTGCTCCTGAAGCCCAAGCCCCTTTCCTTTGTCTAGTCACTTTTCACGATATATCAACTGTATTAAAAAAGTGTATAATCCTAGGTCTCCTTGCTTCTTTTGGAGTTTTACTGCTTTCCTATGAAGCCTCCCCCTACCTGCCATGTGCCACATAAAAAGATTAACATAAAATGTGAATGCTTTCCTCCTGTTAAACTGCTAATTGACAAATTGGCTGATGAACCTAGGAGAGTAGAGGAATTTTTTTTATCCCCTACTGCAGAAAAAAGAAATCTTTTAAATTTTATTGCCAAGATTTAGAACCATTTAAATAACTTTTAAAGTGAGAAAACAAAGTATGTCATGGAAAGAAACATGTCTACATGATTGAAGATGCCAAGGTCTTGACACATCTGTAAACTTGTGACTTGTTTGCACTAGAATGTAACTACCCTTCTCTGCCCTTCCCTCCTACTTCCCTTCCCTTTGATCCTTTTTTTTTGTAGTACTGGGGATTAAACTCAGGGCCTTGTGCTTGCTAAGCTATCATTTTACCACTTGAACCACACCTCTAGTCCTTTTTCTTTTTTGTTTGTATTACAGTATTACAGACAGGCATTATCATGCCTGGCCAGAATGTAACAATTCTTAAGTTTGTAGATTTAGCCAACGTGACATATGACTTACTCTTTTTTTTATTAATTATTGGGGAAGGCAGTACTAGGGTTTGAACTTAGGGCTTTGAGTTTGCTAAACAGGTGTTTTACTGCTTAAAGCTACATCTCCAGCCACCCCCCTTGCCACCCCATCCCTCTTTTTTTTTTTTTTTTTTGCTATGTTGTCCAAGTTGGATTCAAGCTTGTGATCCTCCTTATTCTTCACACTCCCTAGCATGACGGATTACAGGTGTGTAACACATGCTGGGCTGACATATGACTTCTTTTTTTTTTTTTTTCAAAGTGGTTATCTTCTCTGGCTTTTTTTTAAATACATTTTTTATTAGGATATATTCATTATATGGGGGGGATTCGTGGTGACATTTCTGATTAGACTTACCTTGTACATTACTTACATTTCCCCCATCGTCTCTCCCCTTCAACCCCCTCCTTACCCCACATGACTTATTCTGAGAATACTTTTTAAAATCTCAAAAATGAAAAAACATTTTTCTATTAAATATAGCATAAAATAGTTAAAGAAGCGCTGGCAGTATGGTTCAAGTGGTAAGCTCTTGTCTAGAAAGTGTAAGGCCCTGAGTTCAAACCCCAGTACCGAAAACCAAAAACAAAACAAAAAAATTTTTGCCAGCCAGGATATAGCTTCATAATTTCTATATGGCTCTTTGAGAACAGTTATTGAATACTTATTTTTTTCTACTACTGGTAATCTTTCAAAGCAATTTTTAATTGCTAGTAATAATCTCAATTTACTTCCTAAAATGGTCTGTAAGTATGTACTATCATTGTAAAATGGAAGGTTACTCTTTATGCTATCAGATCTCAATTATGGTACTGTTTTTGGATATTCCAACAAATGTTGACTGACACTCAATTTCTTCCCCAGTGCCCACGGTGCTGATACTTTCCCTGATATACAATTCACATTTGAAACAATTCATCCATTTAAAGGTGTGATGTGTACTTCCTAAGGCTGTACAACCATACTGCTATTTAGTTATAGAATATTTTCATGGCTCCAAAAAGAATCCCCCAAACCCACTAGAAATCCCTACCCCTTTCCCATCACTATCTACTCCAACCCAAGGCAACTACTGATTTACTTTCTGTCTCTATGGATTTGCCTGTTCAGAACACTTCATGTAAGTATGATCATACTATATGTGGCCTCTTGTGAGTGGCTTCTGTCCCTCAGCATGTTTTTAAAGTTCATCTCTGGGCTGGTGGAGTGGCTCAAGTGCCTCCAACAGTAGAGTGCCTGCCTAGCAAGTGGGAGGCCCTGAGTTCAAACCCCAGTTCCACAAAACCAAAACCAAAATCAAGTGGTACAGTGTCTGCCTACCAAGCATGAACACTTAAGTTCCATAAATAAATAAAAATCAATTCAAAGTTCATCTCTGTTGTAGCATGTATTAATACTTGATTCCTTCTAAACTGAATAACATTCCATGGTATGGATATGCCACATTCTATTCATCCATTTATCAGCTGATGGTTGTTTCTACTTATAATTATTATGGATAATGCTGGATGAACAATCATGTGAAAGCACTGATACCTTCACTCTCACTCACACAACCCTAGATGGACATTGTGATGAATTTTAATGTATGACCTCTCATTCTATTCAACCAATCCATTCCCGCTGAATCATGGAGATATGCAGAGTCAGACCCTACATGAGAATAAGTTAATTGTGCTACAGTTAAGGATATATATATACATATAACAAGTGAAAGATAAGAGAATGTCAAAATCTAAACTTACATAAAAGAGTTTATGAAGCTTTGGGAGAAAACTGGTCTAAACATTTGGACCTGTTGGTGTTTGATTTTTTGTGAATGACAAAGAGCATGTTACCAAGTTCCCAGTATGATAAACAAAAAGCTATCTGAAGAACTACCAGAGAAAGAGGAGAGGGAGAGGATGATTAGAGAGAAGAATAAGGAGAGAGGAGGAAGGAGGGAAGAAGAAAGGAGATGGGGGATAGGGAGGGAGAAAAAGGGTGGGGAGGGAAAAGAGGGAAAAAGACTGGAGGGAACAGTTAGGAAACAGGCCTAAAAAGCAATGAAAAAAATTCATGTTGTCACGTACCATAGAAGCATAATAGAAAGTCTAAGAAAAGTCTAAGGCAGGTAAAATTTCAACAGATTTTCAAATGCAATCAATAAGAACTAATTAGAGGAATATAAAGTTGCCATACCTCCATGTAGGTTTGCTGACAGCACAAATGGATAGGTCTTCATCCAGCTCATTACAGCACTAGTTTCTGGTTGGGTGGGATCTGTGATCTGAACAAACTGGTCTGGGAAATTTCGGTTCAGGTCAAAGTTATTGCTGTTGTTTCTGCCAATTACACTTAATGAATCTCCTGTAGGATAAAAGATTCAAATTTAAAGTATGTTTTACTTCTATTTTAATTCAGCACATACTGCTTCAGCTATGTTAACTCAAAGGCAAGTACAAACTTATTAGGCTTCACTATTATCAATGCCACTGTGATTACAATACACCTTGTTTAAACCGTGCATTAAAAAAATCTCTCTCTTCCAGATCTTTAGAACAGAAGGCTAAAACTACTATTCTTTTGTTTCTACCCTCTGGTTGTACTTTGAGAGAAAAAAATCCAAATCCAGTTACTATAACTGGATTAATATACAAATTATTATATTAACAATATTATCAATATTATATAATTATTATTATAGTAATATTGTATCATATACATTATATTAATATTATAATATAAACATTAATACAAATTATTATATTAGAGTACTGCTCAACTGTCAATAATCCACATACAAGGACATGATCACAATGTTGAGTGAGCATTATTCATCAGAGGGGGACTCTATTGTACTTTTACACAAGTCACTAAGACATTGTAAGACATTATAAGACCAAATGAAAAGAAAATTGTGGTAGGCTTAGAGTAATCACAAAAAAGTAAAGTTAGCCAAAACCATAGTTGGAAATTTAACCTGATGGAGGAGAAAGGTACAATTTAAGCTTAACTGTGCATATTTCATTTTAATATGGGGTGAGAGCCCTATTACTGTTATTACAATGAGAAAAAAATACAAGCAAATGAAAAAACTTAACAGAGGGCTCACCAATACTAATCAGTTCCACCTTTCAGCAAGGTAAGGGAGTATTTGGGAACTCTTGTGATGCTAACAAAAAATAAGGTCTTTAGGGAGAGAATTTAAATTAATATATAGGATTAACATGAGCCTACTTGCTCATGAGCACTTTTGGGTAATGATAACCAGTTGATTCTCCCAGTGGTTAGCTGAGTGTGTTATGAACCATGTGGCTGCATATTCATACTGTGGTGCCTATTCTACTCATAAGATATCATTGACTAGAAGCTATTGTAGGGGAGTAAAATATCACACTCACATAGATTTCTTGCATATATTTCAAGTTGGTTATTCAGAGAAATTGCAATTACAAGAATAGCTCTGAGCTGGGAGCTGGTGGCTCACGCCTATAATCCTAGCTACCCAGAAGGCAGAGCTCAGAAGAATCACAGATCAAAGCCAGCCCCAGGCAAATAGTTCGAGACCCTATCTCAAAAAAACCCTTCACAAAGAAGAGCTGGTAGAATGCCTCAAGGTGTAGGCTCAGTATGACAAAAAAAAAAAAAAAAATCAACAACAACAAAAAACCTTCTGAAAAGTTGTCCTTTTATAAAAAGAAGCTTACATCTATCCACAACAGCACATGCAGGTAGAGGCTTTCCTATCTGATACATGCTTTTTGCCTAGGAAAGTATTTCCAGAGGAAGACTGATTGGGTGTCTGACATCTGGCCCAGACATTGGCGAACACAGGCGCCTATTACCTGAGAGACTTTATCTGTGTAACTAGACAACTCTTGCTCACGGTACACATTCTCTCCTCAAACTTACACAGCCTGCAGCCAACCAGGAAGTCCAAGCCTCTAAACCTATGCTTAGCTGTATATAAGATTCAACTGTCTAAACTCCCTTTGAGTCTTGTACTTTGTGTATGGGTTCCGTGTTTCTGCATGTTGATAAATTTGCTCTGGTTTTTTCCCTCTTAGTCTGCTCACTGGCCATTTATTTTAGACCAAAATTATCATGCCCTCAGAGGGGAAAAAGAAAACTTAAAACTTCCTTAACAGAATCATGGGCTGGGAAAAGAGATTCTCATTCTCCTAGTTCTACAAAAGGTAGCCATGTAAACCTGCTCTCCCAGCCCTTACTACATTGCCCAAGGAGGATGGGCTTGCCCAGAGAGGCAGAAGAATGGAAAGTCAATAATTCAGGAGGTTTAGAATATATATGTATGAGGAATAGAACTAGGTCAAAAACAGTCACTGACTTCTAAATAATCTAGTTTGATTTTTTTACTTATAAAATAAGATTCCCAATACAAGAATTTAATAAGAATTACTGTTAAAATGAAATAATTTGTAAAAATTTTATACTGTTTTTAATAAATAAGAGTGTGATGGTTAATCTTTTCAACTTGATTGCATTGAGGGATACCTAGGAGATTAGTAAAGTATACTTCTGGGTATGTCTAAGGGCATTTCCAGAGATGACTAACATGTGGGATTGAAACTGAGGGGGAAAATCTTGCCTTGAATGTGGGCAGCACCATCCAATAGGCTGGGGATACAGATGGAACAAAAGTGAAAGAAGGAGAAAAAAAAGAAAAGTGTAAAGAGGAGGATGCCAGCCAGTGAGTTGCATGCTCCATTCTTCCTGCTGTCATTACCTGTGGACATCAGACTCTAGCTTCTCCACCCTTTCAACATAGACTAACACCAGTGACTCCCCAGGGAGCCTCCAGGCCTTCAGCCTTGGTCTGAGACTATATCATTAGACTCCCTTATTCTGAGTCCTCCAACTTCTTGGACTAAGCAACTCCAGGTTCTCTGGCTCACTAGCATGCAGATGGCCACTGCACTGCCAGCCTTCAGTTGTGTAAGCAAATTTAATAAATCCCCTTTGATAATTATATATATACATATATATATATATTATTTTTTTCTATTGGTTCTGCTCTTCCAAAGAACCCCGGCTAATACCAATAACAACATGCAAAAAAAAAAAAAAGCTATTAAATATGTAAACCTGATCACCCAAAGAATGGTTTCACCTACCTTACAAGTATACAAAAGAGCTAAAATCAATTGTAAATGATAAGAATTTTAAAAAGGAAGAAATTGTTCAAAGTCTCTTCTACCCTAAATAAATCATGCCATTTGATAACCCAAAGATTAATCATTAATAATCAACTATTCTTTACCTTCCTGGGACTTTTCATATCCATCAGGATTCATGGATGGCATAAGGTGAATTCTAGTACTATGAACCAAATCTGTTACTTCAGGATCTGTTCCAAAGTTCTTACAAAGGTATTCAATGAGGTTCAGTAGCAGTTCTCTACCAACAACTTCATTTCCATGCATATTTCCAATGTACTTAAATTCTGGTTCACCTGAAAACAAAATAATTATGTGGAAGATCTTTTTCCCTTTTCAGTTATGATGGACTCTCTGTTTTTTCCCCAATGAGTATAAAAATCCTGAACATAAATTCAAGAAAACATGTTATTTTGCTAAAAGCAAGAAAAACCTTCCCAAACATCTTGACGCTTCCTTACTAACATTTATGTCTGATCCGACTCAAAGTGTGTGTGTGTCTGTATACATATACATATATGCACATACATACATATGTGTAATGCATATGTACAGGCCACATTTTAGCAAAAGGAATCTAATTTATGTACATATACCTATATTAGCAGAAGGAATCTAATTTATGCAAATACTAAATACCACACAAATGTGGATAATTAAGTGGATTTTCTTGGGCCAGAGGTATGGCTCAAGAGATAAAGAGTGCCTACCTAAGCAAGCACAAGGCTCTGAGTTCAAACTCCAGTCCCACCAAAAGAAAATTTTTTTCTTCTTTTTTAGAAATAGATTGGCTACATTTTATTAAATTACATTTTCTTAATCCTAGCTATACATACTATAGGTGACTTTTTCTCAATAAAGTACAGCAATATAACATACCTTTGAGATGTACTACTGAAATAATGTATAAGGCAATACCAATTACCTGGTTCATGGACACCTGGATTATCAGATATCTCCATCACATATAGTTCTCTCGACTCTACTGATTTTCCTAAGGAATAAAGGCGAGTGATATTAGGATATTCATTGGCAAATCTTCTCAAGAAGATTTCCATATCAGGGAAATGGTGGTGGTGAAAATCTTTTGGCTGAATTGGCTGGTGAGAAGAGGGTGTTCCAGGAGCAATATTAGGGCCAGCAACTGTGCTAGCAGTTGCTAAAGCATCAGTTGTGACAGAGACCACTGAAGTCACTGCTGGCCGAAGGGAAAAATCCACCACTGTAGCTGGTCCTTCTTTAACCATTATATCATTAACAGTCAGTGGCATATATCTGAAAAAATATTTGAAAAAGGAGATGGCTTAGAGTTAAACCACACAATGCTTTTAATATTATAAAACACAACAGTACCCTTTTCATACTCTTGCACTTATTAGTTTATCAAAACTCAAAAGTAAACAAAGATACATGTATGAAGAGTATTAGGATGTTATCTCAGGTTAAGTCTTTAAGGAGTTATTTTTTTCTTACCAACCATTTCAGGTACCACACACTACACTGGTTACCAAAAAAAATCACATTCAAAGAAACAAATATGCTAATTACTCCACAGTAACCATCACTACAATATTCAAAGGCATAAATTATCCATCTTTGCAGTGCCTTATCAAACTGCATTCCACTTTCTTTCCCAAACCTTGAAGTTCAAAATTAAATGAAAGGTTACCAATTAAATCCTTATGAAAGTCAGCTTCCAGAAAGGTTTCTAGGGTAGGTGGGAAACCACTCCTTAACATATAAGAAAGCCGGTGTAAGAACAGTTCTTCAAATGCCATTTCTAGAACCTTGGGTTTCTTTCACTCTGGTATTTAATTGGCATTGAGGCAATACTTTACACAGCTAAGCCTCATTAGAAGCTGTTAAAATTGTCTTTCCACCCAATGCTTCACACTGCTCGACTATGTGACAAAATACTCTATGACTGTATTCTCATTATAAAAGGAGAAAAATCAGTAAATAAGGAAAAATAAAAGCCAGATACAGTAAGATTTAATAGAGTATCTTTTTGTCTTAGACATAACACGGAGACTTGACATTTTAAGAGTCTGGTTTAAATTCTTACCCAGTTGAAACTGCTGTAAGATTATAAATTCCAGGAACAAGTAATCTGTAGAAATCACCAAATCTGCCTGTTGTGATATTATGATTAATACCAGCCACTGAAATGGTTGCGTTCTCTAACCCCGATCCTGTTACTAAATCTTTAACAAATCCTTTAATTCCAATGTGGACCTAAAAAACAAGAATAAAAGTTCAGAGACAATCAATTTGGAAGGCAAGACAATATAATGCTGATCTACATTGATGCTAAAATTTCTAAAAGATAAGGTTACTCCTCTGTATTTCCAAAACATGAAATATAGACAAAAGTATTAAATTCTTAAACTTAAGTCATGTATGTCTGAACTCTCTACACTAATAAGGTGCTTTTGAAATTCCCTCTCTTCAAAGCTAGGCTTCTACTTTTCTCAGCAAACTATAAATTCTGGTATATCCCATAGTTCTATGAGTTTGATTTAGATTAAACTGATGTTCATGTTTCATACAGTGGTAATGGCTCTCTAGCAAATATGAACACATGACATAGTAATAACCCAGTAGAACAAGTTTGTCAGGATTTTTGGTGCTGAGGATTGAGCCCAGGGCTTCAATCACGCCAAGCACTCACTCTACCACTGGAGGACACTCTAGTAATACAAATGTGCTAGTTATTTCCATTTGTAAAAGTATTCTAAGATGGACAAAAGGACCCCAATAGAGCAGAGTGCTAGGGGTGGGGGACAGGAAAGACAAAACTAGAATATATTTTAACAGGTTATAATCTTAAATAATAATAATATTAAGTAATTAAAGCAGATTAAGATAAGGATACCTAATTTAGATTGTTACTCATATGCAATCAAATTTCTCCCTTATTTAATCCATTATTTCTATACTTCAACCTTCCAGTCAGCTACTTTTACCTTTTCAATCAACGTGATCAAAGACTCGCGATTGTTCTCCCATTCCTGTCGCAGCTGTGAAGCAGGTGGGTATTTGCAACAAGACAGTTCTAATGTGATCTCAAAACAGTTGGCCCACACATAATTGTAATCTTGCATACCACCTGTAACATGAAGGAAAAATAAGTTTACTTGCAAAAAGAAAGGAATTCTACCCTTCAAAAGACTTGAAGAAGGACTGGAAGAATGGTTCAAGTGGTAGAATGCCTGCCTAGCAAGCAAAAGGCCCTAAATTCAAACCCTAGTACTACCAAAAAAAAAAAAAAAAAAAAAAAAAAGACTGAAGAAATTAAATCCGCCATCTCTGCCATGTATAATTTTTTTTGGGGGTGGGGAACAGTACTGGGGTTTGAACTCAGGCCTCATGCTTGTTAGGCAAGCACTCTATCTCTTGAGCCCTTTTCTGTTTTTTTAGTTACTTTTTAGGTAGGGGCTGATGTTTCTGCCTGCACCAGCCTTAAATTACCATCCTCCTACCTATGGACTCCTATGTAGCTGGGACCATAGGCATGTACCACCAGGCATGGCTTACTGATTGAGATAAAGTCTTGCTAACTTTTTACCCTGGCTGATCTCAAACCACAATCTTGTCACTTGATTTTTTTACACCTTGTTTTAGGTGAATGAAGGGAGAGGCATAACTTCTCTATGATCTCACCTTGTTCATGAAATGTGAATAGGCAAACAGTTGTAATATCAGATGCTTTCTAAAGCCCTTTTTTTTTTTTGCATGTGAAATGGGCCTTGACCTTAGTCACTTCCTTCCATAATCTTTGAAAGATGCCTCACGGGTCTAGATTTTGCTCAATTGATGCCCACTACTCATCAAAATCCTTCTACATATACCTACTCCTGAGCAAAGTGGACTTCCCTTTTCCTCAATTATCCTCAAAGAGGCTTTTTTTCCTTTGACAGGACAAAGTGCAAAGTACAAATGTGGGTATTGAAGATCAACTTTTGTGGGTTTTCTTTTTTTTTGGTGGGGCAGGGGAATTGAGACAGGGTCTCCTGCCTCAGCCTCCACAGTACTAGGATTACAGACATACGCCACCATGTCATCCTTCTGTAGCCCCCAGCACATCTCAGGTGATGTCATGCAGGATCCTTCAGATTCAAAGGGAAAAGAACCTTTCCCTTTCAGTGGCTCAGCACCAACAGTCCTAGATTGTCTACCACTTGAAGCCTGAGAACGCTTTGGCATTAACATAGGTCTTTCTATTTATTTAAATGATCTCAAAGGATCCTTCCAACTCTCAGCTTCTAAGATGTTTAAAAATACATGCTGGCTTGCTTATAAGAGAAGAGGCAAAAAGAGAACACCTGGGGGAGAAAAAGACAATTCTGAAATCTCTTTGTAGAGAAAAGTCAAACCACCTCTTACTAGGAGTCCATCAAAGAACGGGGGCTGTAAAACAGTAAAGAAAAGTAAACAATACAGCACAATTAACATAACTTTGACAGAAATGAAATAGCAATGTTACTGGAATTAAATTCTCAATGTCATTTCTGTTGAGGTTCCATTATGTGCTTTGAGACAGCTAGCTCTTCAGTGTGCCCAACTTACCTAATGCAATATACTCCACTTCATCAGCATAGTGACAGACTACACATTGTTAAGACAAGAAAAAACTAGGCTAAGTGTAAAGAATCAAAAGCTAGTAAAGAGGAAACTGAACTTTTATAAAACCCAGGACTCTGTGAACTCTAACGCATGCCATCTGGAGAAAGAAATAAAAAGAAGGAAAGTGAACACTTTGGAAGTGTTCACACCAGGCAGTATCACACCAATATTGGTGACATGCAATCTAACCTCAGAACACATACAGGAGATTTTCAAATTATATTCATGTTCATCCACATTAATCAAATACTTTTAAGTCAGGCCAAGTTTTTGTTTATAATGTGGAGGAGACAACCATATCCATAAATAATAAATGATAATAGAGAATAGTGATGGTGGTTATACAAAAATATGAATCTAATGAATAAAATGCTTATTTTACATTATGTATATTCTGTCACAATTTAATACAGTAATAGAGATATTACAGGTCTATGATAGCAGTTACAATTCTAGGGTTGACAAAAGATCTAAAAATTCTTCTTGGGGAGGAGGTGGCCCAAACAATGTATATACATGTGAGTCAATATAAAAATGATAAAATTTTAAAAACTAAAGAACAAAAATCAAAAAGGTTTCTTGGGGGGAGGTGTTTTTTTTTAGTGAGGTGTTAAAGAGCTGTGGGAATCAGGAGTCCAGTCAGACAGAGGAGATGGCTTTGTAAAGGCAGAGGATCTAACAAATGTTGACAAACATCTGTGTGGCTGATAAGCAACAGTATTATAGCTGAAACACATATAGTTGAAGCTGGGCCGGTGAGATGTAGTGAAAGGTAAACAAGGTGTAAAAGGCTGGGAGTAGGGGCTTCCTTGTCTTTCCAAGGCATAAAAAGTTTGTTTGTTTTGAACAGAAAAGTGGTAGCATGGATAAGAGGCAGTATGGTCTGGAGAAGAAAGAGACTGGAAACAAAAAACCCACAGGCAGTTTTAACAGTGGTCCCAGTAAAAAGTAATAATGCCTAAAATGTGTGGGCAGGAACTGTGTGGAATGGAAGGGAGGAATGCAACAAGAAATACAGGGTCTGAAAGAAAAATGGTGGGAGTTGAGGAAGAGAGAACAATCAAAGAGGACCTCAGGCCAGATCAGTTTAGCTAATGAGGAAGCCACTAACAGAGAAGAAGCAAGTTTGAACAGAGAGGGACATGACAATTGTTTCAGATATGCTGAGTTTGAGGTATCTGCAGAACACTTAGACAGGGACATCCAAGAAGGAATTTGAAAATGCAAGTTTAAAGCCTGAGGAAAAAGGTAGTCCTTTCTCAAGAAATGATCATTTAAAACTAGGAAGTTCAATTTTCCTTCAACAAATATTTACGGAGCCCTGACTATGGGTCAGGCACTGTTCTAGGTACACAGGGAAAGAATGGTGACAAGGTCCCTGCTCTCACATAAATTCTTATATAAATAAAAATAGCAGATGGTGAGAAATGTTGTGCAAAAAATTTAATAGAGTGATGTAAACAGCAGCAGCAAAGTAGAGTTACATGGTCAGAAAAGGCTTGCCCAAGGAAAAGGATTTACTTACTAAGCCAAGATACGAAAATCCAGGGGACAGATCCAGCAGGGTAAAGTCTAAGAGAATTTTCCAGGCAGAAGGAAAACTGGGAGAGTTTGAGAAGTGCCCAAAAGAAGGCATTAATGGCTGGACAATAATAGCAAAGGCTGGAATGGACACCAAAATGAGCTTGGACAGACTTGGGCAAAACAAGATTGAATCATACAGGGCTTGGCACTAAGGGTAGAGTTGAATTTTATTCTAAATTACAATAGGGAACTATTAAAGGGTTGTTGTTTTAGTCTTACAGTGTTAAACCAACACATTAACATAAAATCTGCCACATTCAATTCATATACATGTACATTTACAAGATTAAAAATACATATATATATATTACAATAGTATTACTATACTATAATTTTTTGACCTGATTTGCCTCACCCTCAAGGTTCAATATGCTGGAAAGTTTTAGGTCCCCACTGTTGGGTAGTATAACAGGTTGGGAAGCCTTAAGAGATGGAAGGTATAATGAAAGTGATATATGTCACTAGGGCACTGCCTTGGAACGGATTAACATAAGTTTCCAGTGGAACCAAGTTAGTTCTTGAGAGCAAGTTATTAAAAAGCAGGTCACCACACTATATTGTTCTCTTCTGCATTGTGGGCCAGTTCCCTTTTTTGTTTTTCTGCCATATTTAGTGACCTGGGACCAAGTAGGACCCTAAACCAAAAGCCAAATTGATGGGTTGCTCTATTTGGGTTCTGGCTGTTTGTTCTGCCCCACAGACCACACCCAGAGGTGTGCTTTTATTAATCTCCTAGGCATTCTCAACTCAATCCTCTGTTACTTTTCCATGGCTGTGACCAAAAATATCTGAGAGAACAAACTAAAGGGATTTGCTTTATTTTTGCAGAGGGTTCAAATGATGGTTGGCTGACTACTGCTCTTAGCAGAACATGTATGGTCGGAGGGGTTCTTCCACCTTTGTAGCAGATAGGAAGCAGAGAGTGGGAATACAAAAGGGGTCAGGGCAAGATAAAGCCTCCAACAAGAAACCCCCAGTGCCCTACTTTTCTCCAATTAGGCCACCACCTTCTACTTTTCACCATCTCCTGATAATGACATTCATGTTAATGAATCCATCAGTTAAGGTCAAAAGCCCTCATAAGCTAATCGTCTCTGGAAATGCCCTCACAGACCACACCAGGAAGTGTGTTTACTATCACCTGAGCCACTCTCTCAATCCAATTGCTGAGATTAAGATTACCATTTCAGGCCTTTCCAACAATGGTGAGCTAAGAAACCCACTTTTTTGTATCAGCCTCAGGTATTTTGTTACACCAATAGAAAGCAGAATGAATATATTATTTTCACATTGTTGTGTAGCAGGGAGGAGGAATTCAAAGAAAAACAGACTAGGCCTGTGGTTCTGATAAAGTAGTAGGAGGAGGGATGGCATAGCAGAGAGATAAACCTAAACAATCCCAAAGGTGAAGAAGGTCACATAGCATTAGGTTAGAAGAGCCACTTAGCACAAGGGTGTTGAAGTTAAGCCTATAGAATGCATATAGCCATATATGGTAAACCTTGTTTTTTAATTTTATTCTTTTGTAACCTGCTTGCAAAAGGTTACATAGATGAGACCTTCTTTGTTCCTCCGGGCCTCAGCCTTGGACATGAGTCCGCTGGGTTCTGTGCTGGCACAATAAAACATTGCTTCCTGCTAAAACTGCCTTCAGTGTCCCATATCTTCAGCTTGTAACTTCCCGGCACAGTGTGCAACAGATCTTCTAGAACTTTGTCAATCTTGCAAAAACTATAACCCGGGTGCCCATAAACTTACTCTCCTTTGTCCTTTCTCCTCCAGCTAACTGGCAAACCACCATTTTTATTTTCTCTGTTTCTAATATTTGACATTAGGATTACCTCCTCATGTAAAGTTGGAAACATGAAGGAATTTGTCTGTTGTGACTGGCCTTGACAG